TACGCCACTGCCACTAGTGCACTAATTAAGTTTTCCTCAGTTATTTTCTGGGTAACATAATGATATTTAATTTTACTTAGATAGTATCTATACTTTGAACCATTTAGATTTACTAGATAAGGCCAATTTCAGGACAGATGCTTCGATTATTACAATTTTGCTTTGCAGATTTTTTTCTCTTCTCTTAGCAGGGCCGGAGCTAAAGCTTAGGCCTTGGGTGCAAGGGTGCCAGTGTCAGGGGGGCGCCAAAATCATCACTACGGCTATGATGGGACAGATATGCTTTCAAAGTCAATAAAAAGGGGAGGGCGTGTAAAAGGGCGCAATATGAAGTTTCTGCCCTGGTAAGAATAAATCGTAGATCCGGGCCTGTCTCTTGGTGTCAATAAGTAGACACACTTAAACCTGATAAAAACTTTTAAAGAAGGTGATATTGACAGCCTCTCATGAACGGTAAAGCTACGGTTCACAAGCGGCGACTATTCTCGCAGTCGCAATCGCTTTGACCAGTTAGGCACCTAGAACCATAACTTCGACTCCAGTAGTCGGATGACTTGTCCGATCAAGGGTTCTTTACTTTTCTTGTTTGCCCCGGATCACATAGGGGAGAATGAGGTAAGACGGGGTAGCGGGTAAGACGGGTACCCAGCGAAATTCACAGTTCAAACTAACCAATCACACTCGTTTATTCATCGTTCGATGCACCACCATGATACTTAACAGTCACCCGGCGATTGATGTTTGGCAAGTGCACACATATCGAAAACATTCGAAAAAGTATTTTACTATAAACTCTTTATCATATTTTCTTCGGGTTTGACACATGACTGTGGTTTGTTAAAAACGCTAACTGGTGAGGTGTTGCTGTGATTGACGCTTAAACTATTCTATAATAAGGCAGGCATTGTGTTTCCTCAAGATTGTTGACTGTTTTTTGTTTTTATTGCAAAAAAATGGCTCTGTAGGCAAGATGGGGTAACTCTTGTCCCCCAATGAGAAAAATGATGTTCTTGTTTGTTTTCCATAAAAATAGCCGAAAACAGCTAAACGACGAAGAGTCTCATCATCAGAAGGTGAAAGTGAAGAAGAGGGGGACAGGCCATATGTGTTTTGTTCGGAAGTATATTCTGTTTCAATTGAAGAGTGGATATCATACTCAGTATGTGAAAGATGGTCTCATCAAAGCTGCGCAGGAATAGATAATCATGGTGATGAAGCCATGCACGTCTGCGAATTCTGCCAGCTCTAAGTAATTAACTTTCTCTGGAATCATTGTCATCACCCCATCTTACCTCAGGGGGGTACCCCATCTTACCAGCACCATGGGGCAAGACGGGGCAAAACAACTTTTTTATAAATATTTTCTTCTCTAAGATATGTAACTAAAAGTTCCTACTGACACCAAATATTGGAATAGTAACGATTAGTTGTTATTTAAAAAATAAATATGATTATTTCATTATGTATTTTTTTTATTTTATTGACCTTCAAAGCTTAAGTACCCCATCTTGCCACCCTCTCCCCTACCTTATGCGCTGGCAAGAAAGCTGTTTCTTTTTATTCTAGATAGGCAAGCACTTGACCACAGATCACCTGATGGTAAGCAATGCAGTGGTCTAAGATGGAGCGTGCTTGCCTAGAAGGAACCGATTCACTCTTGACTTGAAGAGTCCCAGATTGTATTTGCCCGGAAACAGCGAGTCCGGTAGCGAATTCCACAGCTTCGCAGTTCGCACGATGAATGTAGAGGCGAATCGCTTGGTGCGAGTTTGTGGAATCTCCACAGTAAAGCGGTGACGCTTCCCAGTACCCCTGGTTGTACGATAATGAAAAGGGGATGACGGAATTAAGTCGTGTAATTCCGATGCACACTCGCCGAAATGTAACCGATAGAAGACCGATAGACCAGCGACTTTGCGGCGATGCTCAAGACTTTGTACTCTCTTTTTCCAAAGAGCGTCGCTTCCAATGAGCCTCTTGGCGCGCCTCTCGATGGTCTCCAACGCTTCAAGCTGGTATTTGGCAGAACCATCCCAAAGGTGCGAGCAGTACTCCATGCAGGACCGCACTTGCGCTTGATATAGTATAAGCAGCTGTTCCGGCGTGAAGTACCCTCGCACCTTCGAGAGGATACCGAGCTTCTTCGCTGCTAGCTGAGCTTTAGACTCAATGTATGAGCCAAAATTGAGCGTTGAAGATAAAGTCACACCAAGAAGGTCAAGGTGGTCCGTGACCGGTACGGTTACATCCCGGAATGCGGGGGCCAGCTCAAACGGCCTCCTTATGGAGGAGAAAAGACACGCCTGTGTCTTGGTGGCGTTGAAACTTACCAAATTGGCATCGCCCCAATCGGACACTGCCTGGAGGGAAAGGTTCAGACGCTCAACCATTTCTTCTCTGCAAGACTGGATATCAGCCGGGCTCACTCTCGGACTGGACATGTACCTCTCCATGACGGTGCTGTCGTCTGCATACCCAAAGATACCGGGTTTCAACAGATCGTTTATATGCAGCAAAAATAAGGTCGCAAAGAGCACGGATCCCTGAGGAACACCGGCATTAATGGCCATTTGGTCCGACGAGAAGCCGTCAACGACCAACAAGAGGAGAAAGTAAACAAAAATTGCCCAAAATTGACAAGTTTTTTAGTCAGCCTTCTGCAAGTACTTCTGGATCAAATATTTCTATTGATAATTTTTGTAAATAGCTTGCATGGCGATAGGTTAAATAACAGTAAACTGGTGCAACGTATCTATGACTAAATAAATATATAATAAACCCTTGAATCTTTTCTATTTCGTTTTATACCTACACCAAGTATAAAAATAATTGTAATTTATGTTGTAAGTGTTTAATACTTTTATTACCTGCCCATGCACGAAAAAGAGCTGTTGATAAAGTTGCTTAGCATTTTTAAAGTATATGTATATTTAATGAGTTTACTTCAAAAAACTTTAACAGTTTTGATAGCAGTGGGCCCCATTTTTTGTTTGCCCCAGGGCCCTAGGTTACCTAGCTACGCCACTGCATGCCACCGTTTGTTTTCCTAGGTTTCAGTATGCAAACTTTTTGTTTTTGAAATTCAACATCATTTCATTTTATTATTCGTCTTCCGCATGTGACTTGTATTTTTCACGGTATTTTAAGTTATAAAGTGAGTAGCCGAAATCTTAAGATTTCTTTACGAAACTATGTATATGTACCATAATCAAATAAATTTGACCTTTTGCATGGACCAGTACAAAAAATTTATTGACATACGCTTACTTACTCCTGATACATTAACTTATTAACCATTGTCGAAAAAAATCTTGACTCGAAGTTCACAATCGCGAATCAAAAAAACGGATATCGATAAATAATAATATGCAGATATTGATATCTGACAAATTGATGAAAACATTAATAACACTGTCAACCCACACAAATAATTTAGGGGAATTCCCTTTTAATAACTTTGGAATTTCTCACAACTGAGTTGCCATGATTAAACTCGAGTTGTCACCTGTCATATTTATTTTGAAAATGGGAGGAAATTTCAAAAGTTGAGTTCGATTGAGATTTTCTGGTAAAGCTTCGAGGGCCCCCTGAGCTTGAGGACCCCGGGGCACTGCCCCGCCTAGCCCCTTGGTAGCTACGCCACTGGTGGCATGGTACACCGTTACATTTTAGAGTATGGAGCTGTAATCTGGACGCCTTACTACTCGATTTATTCTGATGGCATTCAGAAAATTACCTTAAAATTATATCTATCTATACTAAGTATAATAAAAACATAACCGATCGATGTCTGTACATTGAAGATATATGAAAAAAAACTACATTTATAAAACACAAAACAATGATTTTTAAATTTTTCGTCTATTTGTCTGTGCGTTTGTGCACGATAATCTCAGAAACGGCTGAACCAATATAAAATCCAGTTTTCACTATTATATTACGGTATTCTTCCGTTAACATTTAGTGTAAGATTTATTTCAATCGGTTCACTAATAAAAAAGTTATGTCAATTTGATACGTGTTCGCAAAAATTGCTATGAAATATTAACTGTTTTATTAAATTTTCGTCTTTGATATATTGATCATCATCATTTACTCTTTCACAGCCAAACCGCAAGGCCTCAGGCCTGTGTTTAATAATTTTTGGTCACCCATCCCATGAACAACTTGCAAAAATTGCTTAACAATAGCGATCGTGCGCAGCGGTCGTGTGCTTATCCGTCGCGCCACCGAGCTACAAATTAATATTGTCTATGTAATGATAATTGTATGATCCCAAATAAAAAAATAAGATTCCACAATTTTGACTTCTCCAAAGTAAGTTGATCTCTTTTGTATATGGCCAATCATATTAAATAGGGTTCAGCTTATAATGGACGTGTGGTATAGGATCACGCGAGTAGAAGAACAAGGGAAAAGAGCCTTCCGATGATGTTAGTAATTAAGTAATTAAGTAATCGAGTAATTTACAGTGAACACATATTTTTATCAGATTAGTTTATAGTTAAATGCAGCCAACTTTATAGTTGGACTGCAATATCTTTAGGTAATACCTCGGGTTTAGCTACAGCGCTAAACGCGATAAAAAAAAGTATCGAAATGTTTATGAAGTAATGAACAATAATCAATCACCAAAAAAAAATACAAGGTTTAATTGGGACGCGGTGGCTGACACGTTACGTAGCTATCAGCACGTTTATAGAACAATGGGATGAGCTAAAATTAATGTTTTCACTTGCTAAGCCGCAGTTTAAATTTGTTTTTTTTTTAATCCTACAGCTTTCGTAATTAGGATAAACTAGCTTTCGCCAGCGGCTTCGCCCGCGTGGTCCCTAGGGAAATGTTTAGTGGGATAAAAAGTATCCTATTATCTAAGTCAGCTAATACCCTATCTGTATACCAAATTTCATCAAAATCCGTTCATTAGTTTCGGCGTTTATAATATTAATAGGATATATAGACATAATACAAAATAATAAAAAAAAAAACAAATGAAAAATCATCAGTGTCATAATATAATTTATATTTGGTAAATTGAACAAAAAATCACAATCGTAATCATTATCATAATATATTACTGATCACTGCAGTATTGTGAAAATGCAAGGTGTCACTTAGTGAACTTTTAAATCTTTTATCAAATTAACAAATAGATATATATCAATGTTGTACAGTATAATTAGGCGATTCCTACCTCACTTGTAAAGATCCTAATACAGTCCTAACATTTTATGTTAAAAATTTATATTGTTATACTTATAAAAAAATATAATCACTCTTATTAACTAATCAGATTCAATTTGGCACAAGATTAATTGGTAAACTATGCTTAAAGGGAACTACAAAAGATATAAAAATAGAAAATATTTCTTAATTACATTTTTGGAGGCACTGCATCCCATTCTACCAATTTACTGTAATCATAAGGCACAACTCCCAAAAATATCTCCAGACATTGTTTCAAGGACTCTTGACAATCTGCCAATTCTGTACAGGGTGCATAAGATTCCAAGTCTTCGGCGAGCTCACACAAAGGTTGCAACAACATTTCTGCAACAGCTTTATCGCCTTTCTGAAGTTTATTAATTGCAGTAACATCAAGGAGTTTCTCTTTGCGCATTTTTAATTTCTTTGGTAAGTTTCGGGCAGGCCTGATTTGTAAGTATGTAGGCCAATCATTTATGCAAGCCTCACAAAGACAAGTGAACTTGTATTGAAACTTGAGTTGCTGTTGGCGTGTAACACGATCTTGAATAGCATGATGAGCCCTTTGAAAAAAAAATTGATATTGCTGCAATGATTGTTAAAAAAAAAGCGACGAAGTGATAGTCAGACTCGCTCATGAAGGGTTCCGTAACATGATCTATTTGAAAAAGTAAAAAAGATCATGTTTGTTGTTTTCTATGGAGTTGTTTAATTTTTTAGAGTTAAATACAATTAGTAGACTATAAGCCAGTTGCACAAACCCATACAAATTTGACATTCATTAGAACTTGAATGCAACGTTAAATCTTAATGGATGTTTGTGCAACTGACTGTATTATTCATAAACTTGTAAAGCTAACTCAAGTGTGATAGTACTCCTTTTAACTTTGGTAGAAGTGGGGGACATTTGACTCTAACGAAAATTAGCTCTTTAAAGCTTAATTAGTTAGAAACTGTTCACTAAACCGAACAACGGTCTTCCCACACTCCCAATGTTTTTGGGGAAGTAGTACTATAAGTACTAGTAAAACGCGAACAGACGGATGGACAGACAGACTAACGTGGCGAAACTATAAGGGCTTCTAGTTTACTACAGAACCCTAAACACTTAAATAAAGTATTTCGTAAATAACCTTTTTTAAATAATTTATTTTATGAAACAAATAAATACCCATAGTTATCAAATAACTGCATCCCTTTTTTAATTGGTCTCAAAGCAAACAGTGACATCTGACCTGTGCCCAACTTAGAGAACCTCACCACATTTGGGGCACAAGAGTGATTTATAAGGCTGAGGAAAGCATAAGGGGCACTTGCAATATTGAACTCATCTACAAAATTCCCTTCAGCTGTTTCTATGTTTGTACTAATACCATGCATATTTGTGGGACTTGTCATTATGTGGAGGAGCAGCAGCCCTCCTACCAAATTTTTAGCTTTGTCATTTTCAATGTTATCATCACAAGTAAAAAAATTAGTTTTCATCAGCATGTATAGAAATACTGCAGCACTGACAGATTTTTGAAATATATCTGATACCGATCTTCTTTCAATATTTGAGGCTAATGTATGAATTGAAGTATAATATTTTGAATCATACACCCATTCATTGCCAACTTTAACATGGCCTCTATATTCAGTGTTAGCATATTTATCTGCATCTTCAATTGTTTTAAATAGAGCCTGCCAGTTAGAATGGTCATATCTGGATTTTATAACTGTCCTTATAGCAAGAAATTCCAGTTTTGTAAATTGCATTTCAATTATTGTTGCCATTAGGTTGCATTCAACACTATGATAATCTTTCCAAGCATTTTCTTTACAGTCACTGCTGCAATATAGAGCAAAACAACAACTGGAACATGGCAGTAAATTTAAGTTTCTAGACAAACAATAACTGCATACAAATAAATATTGTGACTTTAATAACAGATTAAAATATGGCTCTTCTTGGACCAATACTTCACCTACTTTTATATCAGATTTTGCAATAACATGTCTACCCATTTCTTCTGTAAAAACCACTTCTAGTTTAGTACTGGCACATGGAAATCTTGGGCTTTGTGGATCTTGTAATGTCAAAAAACTGTGATTATTTACATGTTGTATTGCATTAATTTGTGACAGCATTTCTTTACAAGAATCTTTCCTTTTTATTAACTTTTCTGTTATTTTTATAGGATATGTTATAGAAAATACTTTGTCTATATCATTGATGCATTCATTATACTTTTTTAAAGAATAAAATACTGCAGATCTATTAGACAAGGCCAAGCCAAAGTTCTCGGTGTTATAAACAGCATGAAGTAAAGACAAGTTATAATATTGCCAGGCTCTATAATAGTCTGAGTTTTGAAAACACTTGTTACCAAGGTTACGATAGTATGTAGACACTGAATTACTCTTTTTTATATCTAATATAGCAGGGAAGGCTTTTAGGTCTTCCAAGAGCTCATAAACATAAGAGACCCTTTCTTCATTAGTTTTTAAAGATAACAACTTTTGTGATATTAAGCGTATTCTGTTTTGAGCTGTTAGTTTGGCGATAGCGCCTTCGTAGAGTGAATCAATACTCATATTGTAATTTGTTCAGAAAAACGGATCGTTTCGTGATGTCCCACTTTGCAACTCCTTTTTTAGTCGTTAATTTGGGTTGTGAAATGGTTTACGTTATCGATCAGAGGCTGAAGGCTCAAAATATCTCATCGGACAAGTCAGAGAGAGGTTAGTTAGAATGTTTACCTGAAATAGAGTTTATGTAACGTAAGTCATTGTAATCAATATCGTAACAATTTGTTTTTTTTTTATTTTCAGTACTCACAGATGTAGTATCAGTTCTACTTCATCCCAAACTCCTGGACGAGTTATTTATACCTCAACCGGTAGCCACACACGTTGTAATAAAGCAACTACTTCAAGATATATCTGCCACATCTATTATGAAACTTGACGATTATTCAATGGCAAAACTATGGGACCTTATGACTATGATATTCAAATGGCAACTAGCTGTAGCAACAAATATAAACATTTTTGACATAAGCCGCCGACATTTAAAAAGTGTGGCCATGGTTATGCCTCCCTATTTCCCGAAATGTATGATTGAACAAACTATGCGAAGATTTGAATCTTTGGCACAAAAATTCACTGATGACGATTACAAGTCTTTAAACAATACTTTAGTTTTGTGGTTATCTGAATATCATACAAAAATATCGGTACTACTCCGACTTGGACTTCAGAAGAAAGATGGAACGTTCTGTTTACCAGCCACAATAAATTCGAGAATACTACAAGGCTTAGGAGAAAATATTTATGTATATGACCAGAAAAAAAATCCAGTAGACGAATATGAAAATCGTTGCGCTGATACCAGCGAGATAAGCTGCCTTCTTGGATCTATAGACCAAACACCGGCAAAACAAAATAAAATTTATTTGCCCATTGAGTTTGGCAAAAAAAAAGCTAAAACAATGATAGAAATATCTAGGGATACACACTTTAAGAACATTAGCACTAATGTCAAAGTAAGGAACACAGATTTGACTTTTATGCCGGAAATTCCAAAATCCGCACAAGAAGATCTTTTGGAAATGTTGCAAAGTATAGAATGATCGATTACACCCGGTTTCAGTATTCAGTATGTATAGTTAAGCACGTTTCAAACTGTTCTTAAATATTTTTATATTATTTATTTTATTTTACACTTAAAACTTCATATTACAACTACATTTTGTTAGCTGCATGATTCCATCAATCACAAAGTGATTTACGTATTTATCAGTTTTTCCAATAAGAAATGGAATAAATTGATAATTTTACGGGTACCTTTTGTTATTTGGTTCAAAAGAGAAAATGTTATAAATTCACATTGACAAATGTGACAAATTCCTTACAAATATGTTTTTATTTTATAATTTTTAATGAAAGTCTTTGGTGAATTCGTACTCTAAATGTAATCAGGTATATTGATCGTGGCCTCAGTATAACGTAACGGTACTCTAAAACGAATATCGTTCTATGTATGTATTATGTATATGTTCTATGTAGGTGAATACGTGTGTAACATTTTTTTTCATAATTAGTTTGTTATAATATTGTAAAAATATAATAGGCAAAAAATGTGACTATCGGTAATAGTATAATAAACACTACCAGAAAAAAAAATGTATTTATTTCGGTGGAGTAGTTAATGCAAGTGGTTAGAAATCCAACCAGGTTGCATTTCTTTATTTGTCATCAATATTTTCGTATTTAAAGGATTTTGCAAATGTAGTGACATATTTTATTTATTTAAACTTTTTTTGCACACAGTACAGATGGCGAACTTAATACCATTAGGCAGTCTCTACCAGTCTACCGGAGGGTTTTATACAGATAATATATAAGCTAAAAGTATTAGACAGAAAATTACACCTTAATCATCTTTGAGTTCAATACAATATGCAGAATGAAATTGTTTATAATTTAAACGTTACCTATTTAAACGATATTTTAGTGATTAGAATTCCAAAGTGATTATTTGTTAATTTTTTTTTTCATTAATAATTATCAAAAATCAACTTCCGAGTATAACGAACAGTCTTTACAATTTTTTGTATACGTCCCTACTGTTTAAAAAGGCAACGGATCTTTAGAATGAAATAGATTTATTACATTTAGAAAGGTTTATTGCTCAAAATAAAATATAAAATTGCTATAGTTTAATATTTATATTATACCAATAAGTATATTTTAACAACAAAGAAATTCGCAATTGTACCTTTGCAATAATTAAAAATAAATTATAATAATATGTTTACTACACCACAAAGTTACTTTGAACTTGTCAAATTATAATGACCCAACTAGAACGTAATTTTCAAGTTTGAAATTCTAGAAATTAATTTTGGATATTAGAAGAAACACAAAAACTAAAAATTATGTTGCACTTCATTAATTGTCAGAACTAAATTTAACTTGTTACATTCAAAAGCAAATCTCAATGCAGTTTATAGATGATTTGACTAACACTATACTCCATTTATTACAGCATCAGACGGTAGTTGATAATGTTTTTTTCGCGGGTATACTTTCTAGCAAATTATCAAGTATCATGTTACTGATATATATGATGCCTAATTTACTATCAGGCATATAAACAAGTAGGGGTGGATAAGATTAGAAGTTTAACTCGATTGTTTTATTATTTTTCCCGAAATGTAGGGTAATATACTATACTGGCAAGTGTTTTCGGAAGTGAGGAAATTACCTACCATTTCGTAGAACCATAGATAGGTACGTAGACAGGCAAACGAAACAAGCTTTCTTTGTCTACGAGGCCATGTAGCCAGAGCGTAGAACTGTGTTGCTACTGTGCTGATGTATCAATTTATCAACTGTAACCGGGGAACCGATAGCAACAATGTAATTACTTATTCCTTGAAAATATTGATTGAACTATAGGTAGGTTCACTCACACAAAGTCATAGTCCATTCACACTAGGCCAAAAGTAGAGAGGATCCACTAAATGATTATTGTATTTGAATAAATTTGCATTGACAATGACAGGTATCCTGTACCGATAAATATTTTTAATGATACATATAAATAATAATAGCCCCAGATGGAACCCACAAACTTTCGTACAATCCAGGCGACTGCTAACCGTCGAGCTACCCGAGACCCAAACAGGATTTATGAATTTTCAAACACTTGTTACTTTTCGCTTCTAGTGAGCGTACCTCGGGGTACGTAGAGCTGGTGGATTTTTTAAGCATTTCTTAATTAAAATCAGAGTTCAGAGTGATAGATAACTATATTGATAAATATTCCTTGATAAATAGAAAACACTACACATACTCGAAATATGGTTTTTCTGATAGAGAAAATTGTCTAGGATGGCCCTTTTTTATTTATTTTTTGTTTTTTATATTTTCATATTGTTCAATGTGTTTTCAAATTTTCGATCATTTTGTTTGTATTATTCTTATTATATAAATAACAAAATTAAATCATTCTGTATTTTAAAATTGTTGCCAGTAACTATGCATAATTATCAGATAATTATCCAAAAAACTTATTATCTTGCTTGATCTTGATAATGTCGGCCCCTGATAAAAATAACGGATATTCTGTAGGTGGATAAAATAAAAGATATATTAGAAAAATATTATAATGTATTTCTGTCAATCAATCAACATTCTTAAATAGCTAAATCACGAAATCAAGTAAATAAAACGTTATTATAATAAAACATTTGTACACTTCTAGAAATATCAACGAACGTTTTAAGGGGGTCTGTATATTAATTGACTTCGCGATTTTGCCTTTACCAAACTAAAAACTTACCTACATCCTTTACAAACGAAATCACATATCGCATCTAAACCCAGAACTATATTTATACATTAAAAAATATTAAAACTGAGTGATGTACAAACACAAAATGCAAAAGGTGCAATGCACCCGAGCGCCGCGCGTTGGGGGGTGCCGTCTAAATAATCTAATAAATCTTGTTGTACCTAGTCGGCCATGCGGCCTAAGTTGTTATTTTATTTCAACAATTTTTAAATTTTTCAACCGCTGACGCTGAACAACGTTGAAACAACCGCCGCCGTCGCACCACCAAATTTTGTTTTTTTTTTTAATATAAATATGTGTAAAAAAATTGTAAACAAGTTTTCCAATCTTGAAATTACGATTTAATCAATTGAGTTTGTAGTCATTTGGAGGCCCCTCAGGACCCGAGGCCCGGGTGGGCCACCCCCTCTTAGTCCGCCACTACTAATGTAAATAAGTAACTTACACAATAAAAAATACAGTAGCTATCCCTCAACCCAGTGGTTCCTCCATTGAAAGTAATTAGCCCTACAAGGGTAAATAGGGATGATGACTAGGTAAAAAAAATGCAATTCTATTTAGTCCGTCAGTCAGATAATAGAAAAACATTAGATACGTATTTTTTTTTTACTTCAAATTAACAAGAAATAGCTTAGATAACAGGCATTAAAGTTGAGGAGTGGGGTTTCGCTACGTCACAGTTGAGTCATCATCCCTATTGGCTATTCCGTGAGGTAATAAAGAACCTAATAATTAAGGACAAATTTAATAACAATGAAACCATTTAGACGGTTTTATTATTAGTGTAACATTATTATAGACTTAAGAGAATAAAACAATACCATGGGCGTATCTAGATATCTTTCTAAAGAGGCCAGGGCATGAAGTGTCGAACTTGATAGCGATCGTAAAATTCACTGACCAAGATGTCAATTTTGATCGCTATGAAACTAACGAATATCGCTAAATTCACACTTGAACTTGGTACGTGTCTAACAATAAACTGTATAGACTTGCAATAATTATTAGGCGAAGTTTATTGCTAACTTTTAGCGATCGCAAAACTTAGAATGCGATCGCGAACTCTGTCGAAAATGCAACTCTGGCCTCCATTTAGACACCGCCGATAGATGGCGGATAAAATCGGTTTTCTTAAACATAAACATAAGAACCACTAGTCAACACAGATTAAAAAAATTGTAATGTGTTATAAACACTACATGTAAATGTGTTATACACACTACAAATTTTACTCTGTAATCAATTACCAAACAATTAGCGAGTTAATAAATAACCAATCCAACAAGTTTACCTTTAGATTTCTCAGGAATCCTATCACATTAAACAATATTTATATTAGTCCACATCACACAAAATTTAACACAAAATTAATAACACATTTTATCTCACTGTATTATCTAAGTTAGATAATAAACTTGATTATTTGAACACTCGACGTATGCTTAACGAAATTTATTTACAAGTTCACACAAAACTGCTTCACAATTTATGATCAAATATCACACAACACTTTCAAAAGTATCACATCAATTAAGTCCTATGTTATAAAATTCTCGAATGCATTCTCGTGGTGTTAGGGGAGAAGCTTGCGTCAGGTAATGTACTGGCATCTCCATAGACGGGTGAAGAAGGTCCGTTAGACGCGTATGGACTCCTGGAAAACGTTCGAGATCTGCCGATGGGAGACGTTTCTGCCGGTGGTAGAATCGTCTGTACCGGTTCTGTGGGCATGCGGATCGGCACTTTACGCTGAAGTTTCGATTGAACTGAAAATAAAAAGAAGCTTGTAAATAATACTTGAATAATTCTATAGTATCAGGTGGCCATGTGGATTATCTCAAACATGTAGATTGAATTAATAAATTCTATATCATTATCCTATTAATGTTCTCACTGTTGAGGCTCATTCCTTCCCTATGTATGACGCAGGTAACCTACAGATGCAGCAGAAAGCAACCGCTTAACATTCCTACCGAAGCCACGAGAAGCTCTATATGATAAGCCCACCCGCCCACTCCGTGAATCTAACGTGCTATCCACTGCGTCATCGAACTTCTTTTAATCCTATTCATGAATAGAGATGTGGCCAATATTCGTTTGGTAATTGGTGTATTCGGCATCTTTTTTCGCTAATTGTATTCGGGCGAATATTCGGTTCACATTTAACTTGGCCACACATCAAGATATAGAACTAAAAGACAAAACTTCTTTTGTAAGAGTTATGTTATATTATAAGTGAAAAAGTTCTACAAATATCAATTAAATTAACCATAGTTAACATTATTGTATTTTATCAATTTTGTATTAAAAATTAAGAACATTATATTCAAAAAAGTTGGTTTTGAATTGGCCTTTTATTTATGGGGCAAATTGTCAAAAATAGATACTTTAACGGAGATATATAGAGATCTAGAGACACAATAAAATGTAATAGTGATCAGAAATTTAAAAAAAAAATTAATTAATGGTGAATTGTGGTGCAATAACACTAAACTCTATGCCCCCTTCAGCAAGTGTTGCATTTTCTTCATATAGGTTGTTTTCAAAATAATTGTTCGCTATACGCACGCTTTACTACCAGGAGCACTAAGAAAAGCTGTAGCTAAATACAGTCAAATGGTAAACCGAATATTATTCGGTGAAATCACTATTCGGCACATCTCTGTTGCTGACACGGAAAGATGTATTATTGCGTTTCTAGTAGACTACGCATGAGCCACAGCTAATAATTAAAATAGATCAAGGCATTCGGAAATTTTCCAGGTGTTTTATTAAAACCTCGCTGGCTTGGAATCTAAACTAACATTATAAAGAGGAAAGATTTGATTTATTGTTTGTCTGTTTGCATCGAATAGACTCCGATTTTAAAAATTCTTTCACTTTCGACAAGCTACATCATACGCGTGTGACAAAAGCTATAATTTACGCGAGCGAACTCGCGCAAAGTCGGTTAGTATTCTAATATTTCAAAATTACTGATTGATATGATACTCACTGTACGTATAAGCGGCAGCGACAGCCGCTATAGTGAACAAAGTGGGTAGATACGGTGTCAGTATAGACAAAATCGCTCCCAACACCGTTCCACAGGCAACATCGCACTCCCTCTCGACTTCAACCCTTATTTCTTGTCCAGTCAACTTCGATCTTACATTCACCCACCCTGAACCGCAAGTGGTGGCTTCGTTTTTCACTACAACTGTTATTTCACTCTCCTTATTCATCATGTCCAACTTCAGGCCAGGCGATGAAGTGATCTTCACTAGTTTCAGTGCTCTAGGATGGCCAGTGACCGTGAATGTAGTTGGGGGGTGTAACATTGACACTTTGTATTTTGACACGTGTATCTGTGGCAGTAGTAACACTCGAGTACAAGTGCGTGCTACTCCCCATTCAGCGCACAAATCCACTTCGGATGGGTCCGTGATCGGCGAGGAGGGTACTATGGCGCAACCCAGTTGTCCTGGAATATATATAAGAAATATTTTAATCATATAAAATCTAAAAATGAATGAGTTTAACATATGCTCGTTTTATTTTTTCTTAACATTGACATTTTGTAAAGGCATTATCAATCTATTATGAAAAACGATGTCTTCCAGCCTATTAATCATGAATCTAAAGGAAAAACAAATAAAAGCCCTTGTTTCTTCCTTTAAAGTCTCATTTTTAATGAGATTAACTAAACTGATATTTGATCGCCACTTTATCGCTAATAAAAAAAGTGTTTTGATCAGAGATCGGAATTGATATATGAATTATGATTCGTTTCCCATTTCATACATTACTTTTTACTTTACCTTATACGATTAGAAAAACACAAAGTGAAGTTTGTTTGTTTGTAATGAAAACATTAAATATCACTTTCCGAGATCTGCTTGAAAAAAGAGCTATATATATTTAATATTATTGATTTTAAGTAACAACTATCCTGAATTCTTCCCTACTACAAGCGAAAAATAAGAATGTCAACTCCCGAACTACGGTAAATCTTACCGTTAATTATATCCAACACTGGTGTGGCGGTATGAGGCTGTTTGGTCCTACAAACGTAAGGCAGTTCCACTTGTACTCCCTCTAAGGCGTATTTCTGGTCCTCAGTGCATAGCAATGGCCCGTCTGTCAGTACACCTGCTTCTATAGACAACGGCACCATAGAAGCTGGCCACTCGCCCGAAGCAAACGAGATCTGATGAATGATATTACGTCACAATTTCAGATTATTACGTCGTTTTAACTACAAAAGAAAACTGTGCGTGCGTAGAATCCGGTATCTGCTGGATAGTAATTTAGCTACTGGTTAGTTTCCGAATATATACTTCGTCCCTAATCGAAACGTCAAAAAAATCACAAAAGAGCTGTGTGATTTTCAATTCTAAATTCGCTGATGCAAGTTGGCTACTTGACTTTATTGAAATGTAACGTCATACAATGATCCGTCATGGGCGCCCGCGCTTCGGTTCTTGTTAAACACAGATCATAAATCAAGTTAATTTTGCAAAAAATAAAATATACTTATAATTTATTTTAACACAACATTATTGTTCACATATCAGTAACCATTCATAACATATTTCATAATTCATTCATAGAACTGTCAAGTAGCCAATTGGTTTCAAAGTCAATGTCGTTTCGTGCTGCGAGGTTCTCCTCGAAAATACAAATACCTTATCGAATGGTATCTGTTGTACGGTGCGAACAAGTGATGGTCTGTCCAACTTGAGCTGGTGCTTAGCGGATATGTCTTTCATCAGAACAGCGAGCGATACGCCGCTACCGACGAATACGGACACAGAAGGCGGGACACGCCAACCGATACCGTCTAAACAAATCGCCCATCCACTGCTAGCTGTTGAAATTAAAGCATAGAATTTATAAATCAGATAACATAGTTGTACAGTAATCATCATCATCATTATTAGCCATTTTACGTCCCCACTGCAGGGGCTCAGGCCTTCCTTATGGATGGTTAAGGAGGATGGGCCATGACCCTCCACGCTGGACCAATGTACATCTGGAGGATATTAACGACTGCAAATGCAGCCAGAACCAACGGCTTAACGAGCCTTCCGAAGCATGGAGTAGCTCGAGATAATAATTTTTTGGTCACCCATCCCGTGACCGACCCTTGCGAAAGTTGCTTGACGACAACGATCGCGGGCCACGGCGCTACTAAAGTAATAAGGCACTATTAATTTATAACATGGCAGAACCCTGGAAAGCCCTGAATAAAGCTTTCGAGGGCTTTCCCAACCATTTGGTACTTAAAAAAGATAGGTTGAAGCGTGATTGGTTTACCCGGTAAAATCCGCTGCGGAACAGAAAGAAAGAAGAAAGTAAAATAGTCTATAAGGCGGTCCCAAGACGATCATGCGACATGATATGCATGCATTCACATGTCATTCCCATTATGCACCATGTAATTGCATTGACTAATGGGAATGACATGTGAATTTTTATCAATCAATGAAACTATACGTAACGCTCGCTAAAACATACTGTGTCTAACATACCTCACTCTCACTAAGCAAACCTCCGAAATTAGTTAATAGACAAATGAAGATAGTGTCTATGATTGTACTCACCTATAACTCGATCAGTTCTGGTGTCACTGCCTGTAATCCAGACCTCATCTTTAACGGTGACTCCACCGATAGTGCTCTGGAAACTCATGAATGCACCAGCGGCGTCCAGATTTGGTATCAGTAACTCGTTTCCAAGAGCACTGCAAAATAAAGCAGACATTAAATTTCGTAAAAAAAAAAACAACTTGATAACTGTACCTATGAAAATAAATAAATAATTGAAAATTCTCGAGGAGCTCAACGACGCAGTGTTAAGCAGGCTCGGTCTACGATACGGTTGTTAAGCAACTTTCGCATGGGCTGGTCACGGGAATGATGACCAAAAATTTTAATTATTATCTCGAGCTCCTCCGTGCTTCGGCAAGCCCCGTGTGGTGGGTTATGGCAAGTCTTGTGTAGTTCGCGAACGAACTGGTTCAAAGAACCGATTATTGCAGCTCGTTTGCTCATTTTAAATCTGCTTTTAATGTAAAGAGCGAACTAGTTCGTTTAAGAACCGCGAACTAACTCGTTCAATTTTAGTTGCGAACTATTACGCCCAAGACTAGATTTGAGCTATTTTCTATATTATATTTAATTCCATTTTATCCATAGGAAAGGCCAAGGCCCCAGCAGTGGGGGCTTTAATAGGCTGATGTTGATGAACAAAATTCATTTAGAGCATGTATATAGTTCAGTAATTATTTACAAATATTGTCTATAATATATCTCAGTTATTAACTTCTTCTATCTCTGTCTAGTTTTTACGGAATTTAATTGTTTGTAGTCAGTTTCCAAAAAATAATAATGAGTTTGCTTTGCTTTTCTGGTGTATTTTTTTTTTTAAATTCCTAAAATTGGATATAAAGGTGTCTATAGACAGGTCGCTACTTATGATATAGGTATGTATATGCTCTCTACTGTTAAAAGAAACATGCATATGTTAATTAATATTGATTTATCAATTTTAATTTTAAAATAAGAAGTTAAAAAAAATATATATTTTTCTTAGGAAATAGTTTATACACTAACAATTTTTTCATATACGAGTATATTAGGTCCTTACATATGAAATTGGCGTTTTTCGTACTGGCCACTTTAATCACAAATTTCTTCTCCTTGGTTGGGAATTCGAAATTCAAATTTATACAGCCATTTACACATGTACCTGTGTTTAGTAAGGCGGCATTCATTTGTTTTTTGTGGCACAATAATGAAGGGTTTTTGAATCGAATTATTACCTGTGATGAAAAGTGGGTTCTCTACGATAATCGGAAACGCTCATCGCAATGGTTGGACCCTGGCATGCCAGCCAAAGCCTGCCCCTAGCGAAAATTGACCCCAAAAGTTACTTGTAAGCGTTTGGTGGACAAGTGCCGGTGTCGTACATTAGTTTTCTCAAATCTGGCCACGGCACGATTACGGCAGACGTCTATTGTCAGCAATTGCAAACCATACTGGAAAAACTAGCTGTTAAACAACCGAGGTTGGTCAATCACTCTACTTAGAAGAGCTTTAATTAAGATATCCCGGACCATGCTCCAACAGACAATATTTTTTTTTCGAGATTTGGGTAACTTCTTGCAAGGGAAAAAATTCAACTCCGATGGGGCAGTGCAAATCGCCTTCAAAGATTTTATTGACTCCCGTCCAAATGGTTTTTTTAGTAAAGGGATCAATGAACTACCCATGAGGTGGCAAAAGTGCATAGATAACAACGGTTTATACTTTGATTAAATAATTATTATATTAAAAAATATTCGACTTATTATTGCTCCCATACCAAACACCAATTTCATATGTAAGGACCTAATATTCATTTGTTCGTCACCTTTGAGCAGATCGCCTCACGTGTGTCGTGATCGGTCCGTGCGCGAGGGCAGTGACATTGTGAGTGGGAGCGAGTAGTTCCCGGCCGACGGAATTGCGGGCCACCAATCGCAGGACAGTCTCGTCGGCGTCCCCCGATGGCTCTGCCGTGCAGTAATGCGGCACTGCCACTTCCACGTGGACAACCTGTGGAGACCATTGTTATAACCCGTACGAATTAACATGATACTTGAAGGACTATTGTATTAGACCAATGCTATATAACAGGGCAGAGCACTCCCAGATGATAAGCGAGCTTAGCGAGATATCAAATACAGAGGCTATTTATCTCTTTCAAATAGGGTGACAATAACGTCGTTTTATCTTGCAATCACAGTTCATACGCTCAAACCAATAGTACACATAAGAGAAGGGAAGAGAGCAAAACCCGACACATCCCGTTATGCCAAATAAAGAAAAAAACCATTCAATTACTAGCCTTTGCGAACGTCGCCTTTGATCTGCGATTGCGAAATTTAAGTTTAGCAATCGCAGATCAAACACGCTAACCACTTGTACACATGAACGCAAAACCGTAACATATACACACTTCATAAATAAAAATGTATTGAATTTAGAAAAAGTTGTATTATATTACGGATCTCCGGATACGGCTTCGAGCCATGAGTAAAGAGCCTTAGGATGAGGAGGGCTCATACCTTAAAAATAAAAATCAAGATCTCAAAAAAAGTCTAGCCCAATATTATATCATAACAGAAAATTTTGTTTACATATTTTAGTAAATTCCTAGTTTGTGTAAAATAATTTGAATTAAGTTGAATATCGTTTGTTGAAATATTTTTAAGAAAGCATGTTACATTGTTTTAGTGTAAAAGTGAAAACACACTTCCTTGAAAATTGTTAATATGTGTTTAATTACTTTATCTATTTTATTTATTATATTATTATTTTATTTAATTTATAACATTATTCAGATTTATCTATTCATTTCTCCATCTTGCACCCCCTCTTTTTAGAGTATATAGTACATATTTTTTCTTTCATGCCTCGTGTTGCCTGGAAGAGATTGCTACGTAGCAATAAAGTCTCCCTTTATATTCTCTCTTTTTTCTAGTTTCTCTGTAATATGTCCTGTCTAGCGTGCAATAAAGAATGTTATTACATATTATTATTTTATATCCTTTCACAGTGAAAACTGCATACAACAAAATTTCCTGCTTCACATATTTGCTCCCAACTGTCGAGACGTTTTTGTCGCAATATGTATTAAAACCATAAACAACAAATTTATAGAATTATCAATTAAAGTTTTTAGTATTATTTTACAAACTACTAAAAAGTTTAATCGAAAATTCGTATATCATCGAAGCCATGAAATAGGATAGTCTGAAATTTTATATCGTGTGCTTCTTAAACATCACAAACAACATTCTTACCGTTTCTCTATGAATATTGTTCCTATCGTCTTTATGTTGAGCGATGATAACTCCGTGCCCTGGCATGAGCGCTTTCAACTCCCCACTGGGACTAATATCAAAAGCGCCGTCTCCATACGATCTCCAATAGCTCTTTGGTAAAGACTTGAGTCTGATCGTGGAGCCTACAGCGACAGCCAAACGGTCGCCGGTGTTAACATCTTTAGATAAGCCGTCAACTGAAACCTTTATGTCTGCGATGCCGAGGATCTCTATGGTACTATCCCAGGAACGTGTTTCTGCGACCTGTCAGATCAACTTGTTTTAAATTATGGTGTTTAATCGTATCAATAACTCCATTAATATTGTTAAGGCGTACGGTTAAAGTAACCGAACGTACTATTAAATGTATAATAAGTTTTGTTTCAACAAACAATTATTTTAAAATACAATAGGGATGAAGACAAATTTTTGTTAGTCTTTCCATCAGATAGATTGTTGAAAAAATATTAAAAACTTTTTTTTCGTAATCATTAAATTATGGCGAAACATTAAGTTAAAACGTCACGTGACAATTTGGTGCATTTTCTACAAAACTGTGATATAACGACCCCCCTCCTCAACTTTAATGCCTGTTATCTAATTAAGTATGTAAGCCAATTCTTCTTAAATTGAAGTAAAAAAAAATATGCATCTAATATTTTTCTATTATCTGACGGACGGGCTAAATAGAATATCAATTTACCCAGTCGTCATCCCTATTCATCATTAGTTATCCTTATCATTCAGACTCGGCCAATGGCGTAACTACAGGGTGACACAGTGGCAAACAGTGGCAAAATGCCACGGGCCCCCAGCTAGAAGGGCCCCTCGGTCAGAAGAGACCCCTGACATTTATTATTATGCAATTAGTAAAAAAATGAATACCTGTCCCATATTCCGCACTCGGACGTCGATAGTGATAACTCCTGGCTTCAAAGGCACTACTCTCACGGTTAATCCCTCAGCTACTGATCTCTCTAAGAAATCTGTAAGTTTTCATTTCAATATGAGTCTCGAATATTTGTTTGATAACAAAATCGCACGCTACAGACACTTTTATTTATGTATATTAAACGTCAAAGATAATGTTCAGTAAGATAATTGGCTACTTGACTCTTTTGGGAAAAGTATTTTAAAACTTCAGATTCAGATATTTTGATTATTTAATTTTAATTGTCCCGCGAAAACAATCAGTCTCGTGGCACTTAGAGCCGTGACACGACATTTCAATAAACATGAGTAAAGACGTTGACTTTTAGTTTATTGGAATATGACGTTACACAATGCTCCATCGTAGCCACCCGCGTTCAGTTCTTGTAATCACCAGATTATAAGTCGCAAGTTAATTTTGTACTGCACATTACTTTAAAACAAAAACTACTACATATTTAATGTTTTCACATAAGTTACATACCATTTCCAACATTTTTCATAATTTTTATTTATAGCTGTCAAGTAGTCAAAAGAGAGAGAGAGAGACGCTAAGATACGTATATGGAATAACAAATAAATTCTATTCTTAGATCAGTGGCTATTATCTTATTAAAAAAATCATAGAAATCCTTTTCAAAGGTATAACGATTGTGGTAGCGTTTTTTTGTAACGATTTCGGAACAAATGATAATTTTAATGAACAAGAGACATAATAAAAACTTAGTAACGTAATGTTTACAACAAACCCTTGCCAATTCCAATTAACGTTAAAAATATATTTAAAAAAAATAACCTGACATATAGTGTAACGTAAAGTTGGTAAACATTTATTAAATGTCAAATTGGAGGAGATTGTCATTTATTTTAAAATTAGACAATAAAGGCTATGGATAATTAATGAACACTTTATTGTACATAAAAAGAAGAAACAACAAACGTATCAACAGTACAATCGGCGTTATCGCTAAAAAGCAATATCTTCAAGGCAACCGAAAATTAGGCTGGACAGTTGCCAAAAAATGATGGGGAGTGAAACACAGTCAAAATATAGATTTTCTATACTGATATACATACACATATGCTCTATATGTCTATAAACATACATAAAAAATACACATGGATTTTCAAATTTATCTATGGAGAAGTTTACCGTCTGCGTGTGTTGTGTATATCCTGGCGGTGGTTGAGTCGCGTAACGTCCACGTGAGGCGGGGCGGCGGCTGCAGCGTCGCGAGAGCGGAGGGCGGCAACGAGCCCGCCTCCACCCACACCCCACCCGGACGACCCACCAGTAAAGTTTGCGTCGCCGCCACTACACGCAAACCCGATATTGGGATCACCTGGACCGATGCGCGAATAAATATAATATATTACGGAAGCAACATTATAAAAAGAACTTGCACGTTGTGTCACATTAAAGCCAACAATGCATTGTGTTACATCAAGTAAATTATTATTTTGTTTAAGTTGAAACCCTTATTATACAATTTTCACGGCATTTACACATTTAAGTGTGTTTCTTATATTATTCGAGAAAAACTACATAACTACACTGTAGGAATAAAATCTTATTATAGTTATGAATTAGTTTACTAATAAAATTTAGCAAATTACTGGATACAATCTTTACCTAATTAGAATAGAAGTTAAAAACATAGTCGTTAATAAATAAGAGTACTGGATTAAAATCTTTACCTAATTAGAATAGAAGTTAAAAACGAGTAAAAAATAAGAGTAAATTTGAAAAATATCTTACCTCCACTTCAGCTTCAGCGCTGGCCATTTCCACATTTGCTATATCAGTCGCAACAAGCTTAACGCGAGCCGAGCCCATAGATAAACCGTGTACGTGACCCGATGGAGAAACCTGATGGTTATTATAATAATGTAGTATTAAAATTTTATTAACATTTGAAATAAAATGAAACAGAACCTCACAAAATATTTATATTAACAATAAACAATCTGTTTTATATCTATGGTTTTATTATGATTTTAGGCAGCCGAGAATTTACTAACATACTTCTAAATCAATTAAAAATAAAATATATATCGTTTTCAACCACGACATACACCTGTATTGGACAATAAAAAACTTTATACCCATAAACATGTGTGCATTTGGTTAGGTAAAATGACAAGTTAAAACGAAACACGAAACTTTCAATTTGCTCCACTATTTTGAACCATAAAACTATTATTCGACCAAAATAATGCAACAAGTTTGACGTTTTCTCTTCTGTCGTTGTCACTTAGCTTTAAGCAGCCAATGGTTTAAACTAAGTACAGTACTCAAGAAAATCAGTATCGAAAGAGATGCGGAGTGCGTGTGGAGAAACTAAACATTGCCAAGTGTCTTCCTCACTAGACGTTTCCCTACAAATTCATTTATACTGAAGAAATAAAATTATATACTACTATGGGCAATATTGTTGTTGTTGTGATTTTTTTTGGCTTTGCTTTTTAAATCACACTTGAGTGAGAGCGAGTGAGAGTTTCATTAAACAACATCGACTATATTATACATTCGTTATTTACTATAATGAACACTCATTTTATTTTTGTATTAATCCTTTGTTAGTTCCATTTTTATTTAGTAATAAATAATATATGTTGATATTGTTAATCAGTAAAAGACATTGTAAATGGGTAGTATGTTTATTGCTTTTTTTTATATTTAACGTTTTTACTCTTTACCCGATTGTACCTGCGCCGACCAATTGGGTTTACTTTCGTACCGAGTACTGTACTAATTTAAGACCTCGTTTTATAATAAGACGGAATTCCTCTATATTGGTAATATTGCAAATCAACACTACAATACTCACTTCAATATAATCCTGCCTCGTTGAGGCGCGGTATTGAAGCGCCGCCAAATGTGGGGGCGGACCCCCGCGGTGACACAACTGTAGCCGCGCTCCCGGGGGCAGCTTCGACTTTTCCGGTATTATACTGAGCGGCGGGAACACCAAAACCTAAGACAACAATACACGTAATAATTTTTTGTTTCAGAATTTCATTTATTTCAGAATATAATTTTTTTATTCTAGTACATGCTATTGAGTTAAAAACTAGTTTATATTTCACCATTTGAACAATTTTAATCATAAAATATAAACTGATTTTCAATTCTTCAGGTTTCCTTAACACATCCACGACGATAAGACCGCTTTTGCCCATTCTTGATTTAAGAAACTTTCTACAAACTTTTCTTTTGTGTATGAGAAATAAAGACTATCCAATTGTATTTCGAAATTCGCTTCAGATATATATTAGTTACAGATTAAAGATATCGTAATACTAAGTTAGACTGTTCAACATAATTTTAAATACATATAAATAGCAGAAACATGGTAGCATCACAATTACAACATAAAATAAAATTGATTTCCAAACAAATATTTCTTTACTCACTTAATATTTTTTCATTATCAGTCCTAACCATACCCAACCATAAAAAAAAACTTGCCAAAATGTTTAAATAATTTTATAAGTGCATTTTACGTTGATTTAAACCTTCTCATTACAACTCGTAAAATATAAGGCACACGGTACCACCCAAGTAGCACATAAATAATATATTAACTAAAATAAGTACCGATTTATGTCCTAAAATCATACTAACATTTTTAATCAGCACTGGTCAAGTTTCGAATCTGTTTAAAGGCATTTATTTTATCTAATTATGCTTAATGCCATATTATGGTTAATAAAAAAAGTATACCAATGTCAAAACTCATATTTAAGTATTGGGTAATATTAATATAAAGCTGTTATCGTATTTCGGTGATATGAAAAACATTATATATTATATAAGCATTAACTTAATATTATTTAGTGCACTTAGTTGTATTTAGTCATTTTCTAGAAACAAAGGTTTTCTAATGGCCTATGGTTGTATCGATTTAATGCTTATCCTATATACACATTGAATAAAGAACAAGTAAAACTTTAGCACTGATTTGTTCTTAAAGTATTCTTTAATCAAGCTCAAGCTCCTTTATCTTCTCAATCTATTCTTTTATCAAACATTAGGCTATATTTTGATCAATATTAAGTTATTTATACAGATACAAGTCATAAATAGATCGTAATTATTTTTTATGTAAAATTATTTTATGTATTGTATTGTAATGGTGGCATTTTATACGCATCGCTGGCGCCATGAACAAAAAACGTTGGGAAAAACAAAGATAACAGGTGGATATAAAAGAAAACTGAAAAAAGAGTATTCTAATTTAATTGAAGCTTTGAAAAATCACAATAAAAATGAAATAATCTTTTAATGATTATAAGCACTATAAGATACTTCTGAAGTGTTAAAATACGGATGTACCTAAAATGGGAGTGAGTTATTGAATTACGAGCTCTTAGTTTTGTGTCTAACCATAATACGATTAACAGCTCTACTACACTATATTTGAATACCTAATGCTTTAATTTTACGAGTCGCCATTTGCTTTCTTTTTCCATTTCTTACAATAATATTTAAAGTCAACTATATGAGATTAAAAGGGGTAAATAATCATTTATTTTGTACACAGATGCCTATAAAAGCAATTATGTTGTTAAAACAATGCTAAAAGCCTAAAATTCAACAAAAATTTTTACTACTAGGTTAAATTTTCTATTATTTTTATTATATTAAAGGAAGTTTGCGAAGGCGCGTGTATTTTTCACCATAAACTTGTATATTTTACTCCACAAACTGATGTTTGCAGGTTATTTCACTCATAACGAGCTGTATAAATGTTAGTACTCTCCTGTTCAATATTAAAAAATACTTAAAAGATCAGCCAAGAGAACATGTTATCATGGCACACAAAACAATAACTTAAACCGATTATATATTTTTAAAATCTATTAAATATACTTTTTTACAAAGGAAGTAAAACAGTAAGAATTTTAATAACATTAAATTAACGTATTATAATTTTGATTTCCGCATATCAATTGTAATATAATCACAAAAAGTTCAAATACCACTTTAAGGTGCTAATTGAACTTTTTGTGGCTATTAGAATGCTTTTACCCGATTTTATTAATGCTATAAAACAAAAGTTGTAGTGCTAATGCACAGCTTTTATAAAGCTTAAAGTCGTACAAAGGGGGGGCCCAAATTTTACGTATAAGAGTCGTTTAAAAGAAATACGGTTGATATACGATTTTATTATAATGCTTAACGCTTGGACTCGTGCTATTATAAGTTTGATATAATGGTGTTTTGTGCTACTTGGGCAATCCCGTTTTTGGCAATCATTCAAACTATTTCGTTCGAAAGTACTCACCTCCACTTCGGGACTCCACACGCCGCCCAACGAGGCACGCACTCGTCCCGTTCCCTCCCTCAGGCCGCATATAACGCCCTCCTTCACTGTCACGTCGCCGCTGACCCGCCACTCGGGAACGTGACTAGCTGACAAGTATCGGTGCGAGACTCCCTTTACCAAAGCGGTTATTGGAACGCAACCGCCGACGCATACCGCACGAGCGGTCGACACTTCCACGCTGAGAATCTCTTCAATATGCACCTAAAATGTAATGGATATTTTATATTTACTAGTTTATATTATTAAGTTACAAAATGTTATCCTATTCTTTTAATAACAAAGCTGCAGCGTTCGGAAGCTGTTTGTAGATAAATTTGACTGTATAGTATATGGTTCAGGTACGAACTAAAAATAAATTTTTATATTGATTTATCACTGTTTATTGATCATTATTTTGTGCCATTAATTTTTTTTTATAAGTCAAATGTAAATGCATATGATTGATGAACCTTTTTTTTGCTTTACTACAGTTGGGTAATGAGTGAATTTCCTAAGGATTTGTTGTATGTAAAAATTTGATAGAGTACATATTTTTCGACATGGAACCTGGACGAACACATCCAGGACATGACAATTTTTATGGAGGATTATTGTTGTGTTTGGTTATAGTATTGCCTTTCTAAAAATATTTACTACTAGTCTCATTAAGTCTGCCATTTGTACATTTTTATTTACGCAATAAAACTTAAATGAATAATCAAAAATTATACCAACTCAATGCTAATAATTGACAAGAAAGAGTACATTGTAAAAGTTTTCTTACCTCAACAATCTGTTTCTCTCCGTGTACACATAAATCGGCGACTACCAAATCGTATGAGCCCGGTCCAGGTACATGCACGCTCAATTTTCCATTCACCACCGAAGCGGATACACCCTTAGGCGATTCCACAGCGTATCGGCCGCTGCCGCCCGCAACTGATGCGATATTACTTATAGACTCGCCCTCCCAAGCTAAATTAACCTGTAACATTTTTGATAAATTTCATCACATACTCTAATATTATTTTTAACACTTATTTAAACAATAACATAATATATAACAAATTTAATTGTAAAAGTTTACAGCTTTCATCATCCTTCCGTAAGGAGGACGAGCCATGACCCTCTACACTGGTCTAATGCGGATTGGAGCGTATTAACAACTGCAAATGAAGCCGAGATCAACAGCTTAACCTGCCTTCCGAATGACGAAGTAGCTCGAGTTAATAATTTTTCACGGGATGGGTGCCGTGACAGACTCCTGCGAAAGTTGCTTAACAACAACGATAGCGGGCCGAGGCGCTTATCCACTATGCCACCGAGTATTCATTACTTTCACAAACTAATTTATTACATAAATAAGTCAGGAAGAATCAAATCTCAATGAAAGCGTATCCATAAGTTAACGTCGTTATTTACAACAAATCGTAGACATACCTTCATCGGATCACATATCAAAGGTCCCACAACTCGCGCTTGAATGCTGGCCGTAGCTTCAGGAATGTTTATTTTCAGAGCTCCATTCCAACCGATTGCTTGATCATTCACTGCTACTGACTTAAAAAAATTTTAACACATTCATTTTGGTTCTTTCTGCCTGATCCACAAAAGATATGGCGTTAAGATATTTTTCGTTAAAAAATAATTCAACAGTCATTATAAACTTATGAATGTAAAATTTATCAAATATAATAATTCGAATACATTAATCTCAAATCGAAAGTTTAAAATAGTTTTTAAAATATTTCTTTCGGCTGTTTAAGTTGGTTTTAGTATCACGCTGACCGTCGGCGCTGACAGGCCAATATTTATGGGCTCTATAGAAACGTTGTGTAGTTATCGCACGCGGAACCTTCGCCTTCAACGAGCGTTCCAGTGTCGAGCCGAGCGTACGCCGTCAGCGTGTACACTCGTGTGGAATGGCGATGAACACAGAAGTGAGAATATGCATCCGATCAATCACTCTACAAAAATAAAGATCCCAAACACAAGTAATACTGCACACATCACACATCACCAGCCCTTTTACGTCCCCACTGCAGGGGCTCAGGCCTTCCTTATGGATGGTTAAGGATGATGGGCCATGACCCTTCACGCTGGCCCAATGCGGATTGGAGGGTATTGACGACTGCAAATGCAGCCGGGACCAACGGCTTAACGTGCCTTCCGAAGCACGGAGTAGCTCGTGATAATAATTTTTTGGTCACCCATCCCGTGACCGACCCTTGCGAAAGTTGCTTAACGACTACGATCGCGGGCCACGGCGCTTATCCACTACGCCACCGAGCTACTCGTACTGCACAGTGGTAACTTATCACCAAACTTAGCCATTAATTAACGTGTCAAAATTTCTCGTTGATATGCGTAAATAGTTAATGGACTTGGTATCATCATCTCTTTCAACTCTGTTTCAAACAGTGTAAAAGTGTGTGATTGTATCAAGTATTAATGCCAAAAACAAGTACTACTACATCGTGGTAAGTTATCACCAAACTTTGCCATTAATTAACGCGTTAAATTTCTCGTTGATATAGTAGTTAAATGACTTGGTATTGTCATGCCTTTTAACTCTGTTTCAAACAGTGTCAAGTTGTTGAACGATGTCACAAATAAACCCACTAGCTAACTTTCAGCAAAAGTGGATGAACATACTGTGTTCATCTTTTTCGCTGTCGCTTCTTTCGTTTTTGCTATTTATGCACCGCAGCAATTAGCAATTTGAACACTCACAGGATGGCCCAAAAATGTTTATAAAAATCAATTTTTAGAAATCCACTTTAACGCTATGAGATGGGACTCGAACCCATGACCTTTCGCAATCCAGGCGACTGCTCCAACTGAGCTGTCCAGGACTTAACAAGACTAACGAGTTTTTGACTTGTTTCTTTGTTATTGTTTTGTTTTTCGCTACTACAGAGCGCACTTTTATCAATGTTCAGGTAATTCTCCTAAATAGCCGAAAGAAATATAGGTAAAGATTAAAATTTGTTCTAACAAAGTAGATTTGTATGCAACATGTAGCTATATAGAAAAAAAAAAAAAAAAAAAAAACAGTTGTCAACAAAGTCTGTTGATGTTTGTTGATCACCATGAACATCGAATTACGTTACTGACAAATAATTTCGTTTTATCAAATCAGTTTGTGGGAAGCTAACAAAAACGTTATAGTAGTTCTGGCATGGCACTTCTACTAATTTAAAGAAATCATGTGCTTGTGATATTTGTGATATATACTGTCCACGCCACGGGTTGTGAGTTCAGGACTCACGTCGCCACCTGGGGCTGGTGAATTTTAAAGCATTTTTCATTAGTCTCATTTGTTTTTTAAAAAACATTAAAAAACTTTAACTCACTTGGTAATATTTATATGGTACAGGAACTGGCTCATATTCTGGATGAGTCTCAATGAATAGCCGGTTGGTTGCTTTGAACTCTATCGCCGGGTGGTGAGGTTCAATTTCCCATGACGCTTTGGGCCCACGCTCATCTAATAACTCCCTGCCGATTGCATCTAACAATGTCACCTTTACTGTCACCTCGTGCCCTGGTCGAAGCCATACCCTGTAAGATTATAAAATGATGAAATTGCCATTATTTATTTTGCTTATATGGGTTTATGATTAGAAATTTAAATTGTAGTAGAAAATGCTTATCCAAAATTATTACGATCATTAAAAACCAAACATAAGTTATTGAATTATGAGCTTGTCAACAAATAGTGTCAAATTTTAGTTTAACAAATTACTTAAATCTCTTTAGATGTTTCAAGCATCTTTGATTGTATTTTTATGAATTTGAATTTTTTACTTTTGTGATCTTTTGTCAGCATTAATGCTATCTATCTAGGTTTGTGACCATCAAAGTGTTTTTAAATATATTTTTTTCTGCCTAATTTTGTCTTTAATTTTGTAATACCCGTTGTCACTAAACTTACGAGTCACCCAAATCTAACATTTGGGCATTGTCTAAGGTGAAAATTCGTTAAACAAATGACAAGGATGCGTTTCGCCAATGGCTTTGGGTAATGCTTAAAGCTAGGTTGCATTGTGAAGCATTGTGCGGCGCCTTACGCACGGCATTTGCGTAATGTGACATATGTATATATACATTTACAAGGGATAAAATCAATTTAGAAAGTTGGAATCAGAGAGTTTATATATAAGAATTAAGATGTACATAATGAGATTGTTCGAATTTTGGAACTTTTTATATATGGACACTGACGACTTGGGTGCTCGTGCTCGTGTGCTTAGCTCAAAATATATATAGTTGTTATTGTCTCTTTATGAGTAAAGGCCACTAACATGACATTGGCAAAATTGTGTAAACGGCCATACATAAAAAAAAGAAAACGAACTCAAGCATGCAAAATCATAAACAAAAGTTGCCTACTTAAACAAGTGATTAGTAAGGTATTACCTAACGTTTCAGGTTTGGTAAAACGAAAAATCTGCTTAAGCTATTCTCAATATTAAGTGATGCCTTCTTCTAGGTTAGTGGAAACGAGCATAAGTATAAATTCCACAAGACTCTGTTGATAACACAGATATTTTAATAAAAATGTATTTATATTTTCCACATACCTAGGTCCACCCGTGCAATTTCCAGGTGTCTCGGAGGGTTCGAGACGTATCCGCGACACGTGCGGCGCGCACGCTGCCTCAAATTCGACTGACTCCCGCTCTTCGTCCGTGTTCGATACTAATTCCATACGCGAATCTCCTTTCTGTAAACGCGCTCATTGAATTCTCAAGACAATTTACAAAAAAAAGTCGTCTAATATGGACATGACTATATGATTTCATATTTTTAAGTAACTTAGGACTTAATTCATCAAAAATCAGACATAAGACTTTACTTATAAACAACGACTAAGTGACAACTACTTAAACAGTGTTACGTCCGATTCACTCAAACTGAAAATTACATTAAAATGATGTGAGCAGATATTTTGTGTTACAAAACAACAGTTAGACATTGATTATAAGTAAGGTGATTCAGGGATATCCTCACTATGACAACATTTCTGAGTCAGAAGTACTCCATAATGATATTTTATTCATACCATATCATTTAATACATACCCTACGACACTTCATAGTGAACAGTTGAGTATCGGGATAGCGGTGAGGGGGAGGTCCTTCTCGATACGAGAGTTCAGCGATTCTTGGCTCACTCGATTGCGGTATCAGGGCTTCGCCATCTGCTAATACCTATTAATAATATAATATTAATCCTAAGCCTGAGTTACAAATGTAAAGACGTTAAAAGGAAAAACTAGCACTCGTATATGTAAGTTACGTATTATAAAGAAGAATTTGAATAAAATAAGAACTGTCAAATTAGAATTTTGATACTTTAATAAGCATTTTAAAGTTATACTCGTAAAAATAGGAAAAAAAGCGTCTCTACAATTAACAAATGTGGACCAAGCTTAATTATTCAAGTATCACGCAATCGGGCTATTATTGTTTATTTCGTATACTATTACTTAGCTTTTTACATTTGATTAAAGTCTGTCTTCAATAATACTAGTGCCACCTAGCGTAATCAATACGCTATTTGCTAACATTAGATATAGTGGATAGATCAAGTGGGAATTAACGGACCTTTATAAGTGAGCACACAAACAACATACACACTCTCACTCACACTCACTGTGAGCACACAAACAACACACACACTCTCACTCACGGTTAAAAAAATCCACTTTGTCCCTGGCTCTGTGGGATGGGACTCGAACCCCAATTCAGAGCACCAGGGACTAAGTGGATTTTTTTCAAATTTTTTATTCAAAAAGGTATACAACTGACATAGGTAATAATATGTAATAACATCTCACCGGTATAGTGGATTGGACTAGTGCGGCGGCATTGCGCGGCCACAGTAGTGTGGGCGCGGCACGGACCGCCACGCGAGTGGTGTCGCCCGCGCGGCCGCGCGACACACGCACCGTAGATATGCCGCGAGAACTCCACGCACATTCCAACACGCAACACGCGCCCTCTGATCGTACGGACACACAATAAAAAGAACTGTAGCGAAATCGTACTTTCAATTAATTATTTACGATGACATACTTATTTTAAACTAGCTGTTTCCGCGATCATTCACGTAGAATGTAGCCTAAGTTACTCTTTATTACGCTTACGCTATCTGCCAGTGAGTGTCCCGTCAAAATCCGTCCAGGAATTTCAGAGATTAGCCGGAGCAAACAGGCAGACAGACAAAAAATATGTAACGTAACATGGATGGACGGAGATTTATATATAATACAGTACATTATACATATAAATCTCCCTCTTGAATCACTCTGTATATTGATGAAAACCGCATTAAAATTCGTTATGAAGATTAAAATACAGCGAAGAGACAGTGAGAAGCGACTTTGTATTATACTATTTATTATATGATTATACATTTGAGTTTGAAAAAGGTGCTTGACTTTAATTTCTGAAATATCTGAACCCGCAAAGGACAATGGGTTAAAAACAACAGTTTAATTATTTCCAACAACTAACATTATAAACAGTATTGGTATGAATATGAAGTCATGCAGATTTGTTTATCGACGTACATAAATCAACCGCATTTTATAAAATTGAATTATGCAAACACAAGAAGATTATAAATTTCCTTTTGCCTTATGAGTGTCAAACTAAATTCAGCTTAGAAACACACCCTTCTTGAACATAATCGAGTCACAGCTAAAATCTGCTGTCATAGATAGCCCGAAAATGTAAAACATCTACCTGATACTTAATGTATTAAAAAAAAATTAAGAGTTTCTATACTCTACTTCAATGAATTTATGACAAAATTTCTATAGAATTATAAAAATAATAATAAATAAGAGAACTTTATTATGATGATTTATAGTAAAATCAGATTATGTAATGCCATTTTTAGGTGTTGTGCGTAATCATAAGTTTTGAGCCCTTTTTTCCTTGAACGGGGGAAATACATTATTTCGTGTCTCTGCCACTTTGTCACATTTATCGAGACGGTTGACTAAGTGCTTTCTAGATAAACATACCCATTGGTTTCACCCACGTGGCAGCGGTCACATTGTGAGGTTCTGGTCCTTCCAACAGCGATACGGCGAAGGACGCACAATTACATCTGAAAAAAAGATTCCAAACTATTTATTAGTATATTTCATCAATTTTGCATTCACAATGCTATATTGAAAAATATTCTTAATAAAAAATGCTTAAAAATTTTCTTTGGCACTCTGAGACGGGAATCAAAGCCACTACAATAACAATTGATCAAACGTAATAATTAGAACAAAATTTCATATTTAACGAATGTTTAAATATTAGTAAAAATATTTCTTTCGGGTGGTATAGGGTGGATTGCCTGAACATCGAAGCAAAAACGCTCTGTAGTTGCGAAAAAATAATAAGTATCTCAGAGTACCAAGGAAAAAGTGGATTTTTTAAGCATTTCTCATTAAGAATAATTTTACAAATGTTTAATTTGGTCAAAATGCTGAAATTCTGCAATCAATGTTGAACGTATCTATCAATGGATTAAAGCTTATAATCGGTGTAGAGTAAGATACAACTGATATGGCTCACTGATATACCTACGCAGAAAGTGAAATGACGAAGCGCGGCAATGTCGACCAATTAGAGTAATTTAAATATCGCGCAATCGGGGATACACCGATATCCACGCGCTTGGATTAAGTAACCGTCATCTCTTATAGCAATGTTTAATCGGTGCAGCGAGCGGGACAGCGCTATACGGAACAGTAGCGGTGTCCCACTCATTGCATGGATTTAGCATTACTATAGGAACTGATGGTTAGGCCCCTGATCTCCACTTAGTGTGAGCAAAACGGATACCTAATCCGATGTATTTTACGCCTTATGATTATTCATTAAAATAATCGGCATTGGTACATCTGTTGTGCGCAAACAAACATTCAGTAATCTATGCATATTAGTTGAAACTTTCATTGGAAATAAATTGCTATGTGAAGACAATATCCATACTTACACGTGAAAGTTGTACAACTCAACAGGATTGTCTAGTCTTGCCGCTGTAAGGGCCACGTGTAGGTGATGAGGACGGCCCACGCGTGCGTAACCAGAGCTCGATACTTGAACTAACTCTGGAACCACTGACCATACCCTAATAAATAAACATCACTATTATTATTGTCCCTTTCACACATACAGTACACACAGTAAGAGTGACCAGGACGTATATATTAGTTCCATCCTCGGGAAATCCTTGTCTATATACTTTTGCCGATTTGAATTTGTTAGTACATTGATTAGTTAATAATTTTTCAGTTATTTTTGACATGATCTTTACTTCTTATTATAATAGGAATGTGTCTTATAGTATACAAATAATGAACTAAAAGCACATGTTATTTTTACACATAGGTAATTGACAATAATAACAATGCATTATTAAACAAGAATAATATATTCATTATATTCAGATCACAACTTACTTTCCGTGAGCTTGTACATGAGGGTAATTCTTCAATTGCACTCGAACATCCATTTCACCGATACCTCTCACTGTCAACATACCACTAGGAGTGAGCGAGAGGGCATGACTAGACATCTCTCCTGCTGACCATACCACTGGTTCATCTCCACCACCGGTATATTCAAGTGATATATCTCTGTAAAACAAAATTGTATTTCAGATATATTCGAGGTCTTATAAAAAATATCCCAAATTAGTTTTACTTACTGTATATTGTCAGTCCATGCGACAAATAACTCTGGTGGCACCACAGCTAAAGTCTCTACTGCTAATGCCGATATCTCACCTTCAACCTGCATAAACAATAATATAAGCACTTTTATCAGTCATTTTTATTAAGTAGTCGTAATCGCCCGTTATTGGAATAGGTAGGTAGGTACTTAAGATATTTTATAGTATGGATATGTCTGGGAATACAATATTTTTAAATGCATATATGTCATAAATGCAGTTAACATGTTAACTTCCAAACATGAAAAATTGTCACAACAACAATTTAATTTATTAAAGCTTAAAATATTATTTTATTTGTTTATAAAGCTAGATCCTAATATCATATCCATATTAACGTATACATTAAAAAGCATAGCTACCTACTATAATTACTGATATTTGAGATTATCACATAAATACTTACTTTATTTTGTAATATTTTGCCAGCAACAGAATATAGTCTTGCCGTAATCTTGAAAGGCCCAGCATTCTGAGCTACCGCATCAGTCAGAGTACCATTTTCCGTAGATCTTATCAAGTTCACATTGGCTTCACCCTCTACCGACAATCTTATCAAAATTTCACTGCCAGCAGTGAGGGCGTGTCCGTCTTTATCTAACACTATAGCATGAACAATGAAGTTCTCTCCTTGGATCACGAGATTTGAAGGGCGAAGTTGAACTCTAATTGAATGGGGCTCAGCCACTGTCAAAGTAGCAGTAGCCACTTCAGTAGGACCAGACATCAATATGACGGCTGTGGTTCCCACCTCCGTACCGCGAACTAAACTAACTGTGTCTTCTAGAAAAGCTACACCTGTTTGAGGCACTTTCATGCTGTAGAAAGTCTCGGCGACATCTTGAACAGTTAGACGGCCGGCGCGAGCTCGGACTACTCTGTAATTTTGATAGAAGTGTTTGCAATATTTCAGAACAATTTTTTGAAAAAAATATTTTTTATATGTATTTGGGATCAATCCATATCAAGAAAAGAAATTAATAAAAAGTACTTTTTTATACATATTTAGTGTTATAATTTAATAAAACATCATACTAAACTAACATTTGGTATTCTTTTTAATCTAGGGGATTGCTGTCATTTTTGTCATATTATGTCCAATAAAATATTTCTACCTGTGTTAGTTTTTTTTTAATTTCATGCAATGGCCATGATATGGATTAAGCCTTTAACCCCATTTGATACAAATATCTCTTTAAGGTATCCTTACTTTAAAGAGATATTTGATATGCTCCTGCATAACCAATTCTCTTACCTATATCTCAAATTATCTCCTGGTGCAATAGTAGCTGTGGCTGGAGTAAGCACTACACTAGCTACCACATTGAGGTCAAAGTCTGTACAGATATCGTTTAGACAGACGGTAACGCGACACTCTCCCATAGCTTGACCGTATAGTAAAACGGAATATGAACGGAGTCCTTGGGATTCAAGCTCAGAGACGCCCTGAGGTGCTTCATAGTCCGTATCGCGCCAGCGAACTAAACTGAGGACAATTATATTGATTAGTTTAATTCAAAATAACTGACAGAATACTAAAAGGAGCTTTTATTATACAATTAAAAATCACAAAGCAATCATAGTCTTGTGGGTAAAGTATCGGGTTGGCACAAAAGTAATGAGACACTTGGTTTAAGTTTTTACTTTTTTATTATTATTACAATAAAAAAAGTCATAATGTAATTACCATTAGTATCTAAGACTTTTTGCCAACGATCCGGCAAAGTTTGGATGCCTTTTGCCCAGAACTCTGCTGGCTGTGCCTCGAAAAAGTTGTTCAACTCCGCCTCTACGTCAGAGAAATCATTAAATTGTTTATCCCGCAAATGCTGTTTCAGGGCTCTAAACAAATGATAGTCTGATGAGGCGAGGTCTGGGGAATAAGGTGGGTGGGGTATCGTCTCCCAGCCCAAGTTCTCCAACTGCCGGCGAACCACAGATGCGACGTGGGGTCGAGCGTTATCGTGCAGTAAAACTACATTGACTCGTCTTCGTCGTTTTTTCTTGATAGCGGCAGATAATTTGGTAAGCTGGGTTGAATATTTGTCAGCGTTTATAGTTTCATTGTGTAATAGCTCATATAACTGTATGCCTTTCGCATCCCAGAAACAGCAAAGCAGAATTTTTCGGCGGTTCCTTTGACTCGGCTTCGGTTGAGTTGGTGGCGTTTCTTCTCGAGGCAGCCAAAAAGAACGACGTGTATCGTTCTCGTAATAAATCCATGATTCATCTCCAGTAACCAGATCTGACAAAAACTCTTTACGTCGGGGTCGCAGCAAAAGTGACTGACAGATAGCGACACGGACTGCACGACTGGCGTCTGTAAGTATGTGCGGTACCCACCGAGCCAAAACTTTTCGATAACCAAGCTCATGCAGATGGTGTTCCACGGCGTGGTGACTGCATTTAAGTGCTTCCACTAATTCACGAGTGGTAGCATCCGGATTCAACTGCAGTTCGCGGCGCAAATCGTCATCATTCACTGCGGGTGGTCGCCCTGAGTATAGTGTTCGAACTTGTCGCTCGTCCATTTTTCTTCAAACTGACTAAACAAATCGCGAGCGCGGCTTTATATACCCTACACCAGAAGTACCTAGAATGTTCTACAACATTCTAGAATATTATCGAAAAAATTGATTTTAAAAAGGAAATGTTATAGATTTTTCTAGTGTGTCTCATTACTTTTGTGCCAACCCAATAAGAACAGTGGGCAATTGTCCACATAAAGAAAAAAGTATCTCTGTGTCAGTATCTCTTTAGATATTGAGACACCATTTCATTTTTTGTTGTTTACTATTTTCCAGAGATTTAAACAGGCAAGGTGCGCGCCTCACTCCAAATATGCTATACTTACTTAACAATATTATCTTCTCCAACATTATTGCCAAGATTTTCTATAGTCCATGTAAAGCTCACCCCCTCCAAAGTAGAAAACTTGTTTCCTTAACAAACAAAAAAAAAGGTGTTTCAAACATAAATATTGACTGAAATTAATGAAACCATTATTTTATGAGAATTCATAGAAGTAAATACTACAAACACATTAATATTATATTTTGAAGACCTTAAGCTTTGAGAAAGAGATGACTTTTTAAATCAACCACACATACCACTGGAATAATCATCTAATTTCAAAGTCTATCACAATCTGTTTCAGTGATAAATAATTATGGAAATATGTAACATTTAAAGTCACAATCATTTGGAACAAATGATGGTTTGATCATTCATCAACTATCATATGAGTTGATGAATGATCAAACCATTAAATCAGTGGAAAGATTGTGGTTAGCATTTGTTTGACATTGCTTCAATGTGTTTCCAACGAAATTCATATTCATAATGTAATAGTTGTACTGTAAATTCCATGAATATCTTTTAAATGTGAGACTTTAAGAATAGACAATTAGATAACCACATTATATTTTTCAACAAAATATATGAATACCAAAGTTCTTCTTAATAATATTTTATGTAATCAACAGTGAGATCAAAATTACTTCCTTCTAAAATTAGGAAATCTCCATGCTAAGTAAGTATAAGTGTACCTTGGTCATCATATGCAACAACTTCAAAAGCTTCTGGTGCTTCTTCTAGGTATAATTTCCATGTCGTACTCATAACTTTCAGGGAACTTATCTTGTCAATGTCTACATCACCACGTAATATCTGAAAATATCGTAATAATATTATAATATCTATCTAATCCAAAGGCGACAATAAAACTAAAAATGACCCAAAGTATTATGCAAGTATTGAAAGTTAAGACATGTTCCACCCATTGTGGTATGAGATGGTTTATGTGACATTTAGTATCCAAAATCAGTTTTGCAGGAAATGATGAATTCTATGAATAGCAATATGTATCATTTATTTTGAATGCTCATATTCAGATCTTTGTTTATTTATTGACATCCTCAAGACTTAGACTATATAGGTTAACAACAATTTGCAAATATGTGATAAAAGACTTTTTACCAACAGAAACTCTGCAAGCGCTGATTTTTTCTCCCAATTTTATATCATACAGAATTTTATTGAATCATTAATTCACTAGACTATTCATTATTGTATAAACAAATTCTAAAAGTAAAATATAAGCAAATTCTAAGTATAATAATAATAATAATATTTTATTGTCACATCATTTTTACGGTTACAGTTAATTTACATTTAATTTGCAAATTAAATATAACACTATAAGGTAGCAATTGGCGATCTTATTGCTAACATCAATTTCTACCAGACAACCTTTGGATGGAGAAGAATAAATAGCAGTTATTAAAAACAGAGGTGTAGAGTAAGTGTATGTATAGTACAATCATTGGCTTTATAACTAATAAGTGATTTTTACAGGCAACCATTATATTATCCAACAAATGCCATCACAAGCTGTGATTGGTGTTTTGTTCGATGTGAGACACAGATTAACAATATTAAAAAATTATGTTCTTGTCTTAAATAATATAAATCATTATTATTTAAAGCTTGACTCCCATGGCTAGATACTATCTATGTCCATCTAGTTCAAGAACCTGTCATACTTTTTTGGTCTGTGCACACCAAAAAAGTATGACAGGTTCTTGAACTAGATGGACATAGATAGTATCTAAAGAGACACTTTTCTAATGAGAAAACTACTCTCAGTCAAATACACTACTACCAACACATCTGTTCAGTCTCTTGACTGATCACATGATATGTCATGGAAAAAAAGCATTCAACAAAAAACATTTGATCAGTCTTCAACTGATCAAAAAAATAAAAATCCCACTCTGGAGGCACCACATTCTCTTTTTTAGTTATAGTATAATTATTAACACATGATACAGTTATGCTGATGTGAATTGGCTATTATTATAAGTGATTTATTGTTGGACTGGACCTTATTTCTGCTATGTTTAATGTATTTTCATTGGTTTACTGCAATATGGAATTTTTTTTTATCTATATGGTCAGGCTTCAACAACATTCAACATATAATATCCAACCCTAATTTTATCAATATTGAAAAAAAAAATTGAAAATTCATAACTGTAACAAGTATTAGATTTTCCCGCCACAATGGACAAATATGACTTTACTTCGCCTGAATTAACTTCTTCAGCTAGGATGATGACTGAACCAGGTGGCACACATGATTTTGAGACTGATGCACGAGCAGCATGTGAACAATGGCCCCAGATGTCCTCGTACAATGGCTCAAGATCTATGATGTCATCGCGAGACAAGCTCCTAAAATAACAACAGTTTATTCAACCGTTTCACGAATTATGCTTCAAGTGTAGAAGGCGATTAAAGACAGTAATCAGATCAAACTCACCAAGTATAACAACCTCCCTCAATTATTTCAAAGGTGAAATTAACAGTCAAGCTTTCGAACCACGGTAAGAGTACTCTTGGTGTGTTTATTTTTGCACATTCACATGTGTGTACACAAAACATTAATGTTAACGTAAAAGCTAACGTTCTTGGTAATAATCCCATATTAATTTAACAGTAAATACAACATAAATCATCAATATTCCAAAATTTACCGCTTTTTTTGCAGAAACATAACCTCAAAATACACAGTCCGAAAACGAATTACAGGTATTTGTTTGACAATGACATTACTTTTTTTCGTGTTGTTTACACTTTCGGAACAGGCAAAGGACTTTCATTCATACAGCCACATCATATTTTAATAAGATCTCTTGATTTGTTTAACATTATGTACTTTTTTATGGTTGTTATTTTTTTTGGTTCATTTATCAGTTTGTCTACTATATATTCTTTTACTCTTTGTTTTTCCCTCTTGTTTGGAACGGGCAAATGATGTTATGTCCATACAGCTCGGTCTATTATCGTTATTTTTATAAAGAAGGACAAACAATGTAATTTATACAAAATAATTACAAAACTATTTGAAAGACTTATGAGCTGTAATGTAAGTTCATTGATTTATTTATTTATTGAGTTACACTTACTATAAATACTAACTATAAATTCATTTTTCCCTTACGCTTGTTGAAAATCACTGTCGTTGGTTATATAGGTATATTAGGTCACAACACACAAATGTGTCTCTAACCTTACTAAACCTATGAAACTGATATACTTATAGCACGCCACGAAATATTACGACAATGAACAAATATGTTTCCACCATATACTAAATATTTAGCCTAGATTGTTGCTGAAAAGTCAATATCAACATCCTTTAAGAATATATTTATACCCTACTATGGTTTTTGGAGGTCTAAAAAAGACTGATGTCAGTAATTTTTCTTCATTGGTTTGTCTGAAATTTATTTTTTATGTCCTCATTTGCTTTTCTGTTCTTCATAGTTCTATTTGAGTATTTAGTTTCTGTGAAAAGTTTTGCATGTGTGTAGAAATAGGCAAGACTCCACCTCTACTATTAAAACTTCCTGATCGTTAGATAAGCATGGGTGGACTGAACACCTACACTTACTTGTCACCGAGGTTTTTTTTTACGCTTGTATGAATAATTATAAGAAGTTGCATAGGTTCTAACCAGTTCAACTCCAAACGACCAGCCGAATTGAACATAGTGCGAATATAAAGCGTTGCGTTTTAAAGTGCAAACGTGTGGACATAATACTTATTGTTCTATTTGAACGCTTTTTAACGGATAGAAAAATGAACTATAAGTACAAGTATAAGACTACAAGTCCTTAAACGTCTAACAAAATATACAAACATATTTATATTTACCTATATCTGTCATCAAAATGTGTTGACCGATTAAGATGAACGAATAAAGGGTTCCTATGCTGTTATTATTAAAAATGAAGTAAAAAAAAAAATAATGTCAAATTTTGAAAATGGCTGATAATGGTCATCCTATTTGTGTCATACTTTACGTGATTTTTGTAAATATATTAACTGACAAGGGATGCGTGATATGAAACGATTACATCGAAAAGTAACTGTTTTCTCTGAGAGATAACTTCAGTTACGAGGTTTTGTATACAAGGAATTCCAAGATGTCTTTAAACAAGGCTACAGAAATAAAAGGCAATGAGATCGATAAAAGCAAACGTCGCCATAAAACTGACGACACTATTATTGCGACAGCAGCAATGAGTGGTGGTGAAGATACAGTGCAATATACAAAGATGGAGAACGCAGATATCACAGGAAAGCCTACAGAATTATGTTTACAAAGCAGCTCTCATTTGATGTCGAGTACTACAAGTAGTTTAGCTGATACGCCCGGAGATTCTGGTGTTTTGTGCTTGGACAGCGAAGCTTCCGAAGCTACCAGTCAAGCACTTATGTCTCATAGTCTAATCGGAGCTGAAGAGTTAGCTTGTGACAGTCAATATGATGCCCCTCCATCGGGATCTCAAGATATGATCAAAAGTACAACCAGTAGTCTTATGACACGAAGTGATATTGATAATCAAAACGTTGGAATCCATGATGATATAGTCCCTGAACTTCTAGTTGAAACACACAAAAAACAATATGAGAATTTACCGGATGTAGTTTTGAAAGCCCTAGAAAGTGAGCAAGTGTGCACAGAAGAGCCAAAAAGACCTGCAATAAGAACAAATGAACCTAAAAAATCTCTATCTGAAGATATAGTATATAGACGAAGATGTAGGAAGAAATCTCAGAGTGGACCAAGTTCCCAAAAAAAGAGAGTATCCTTTCATGAAGATATTCTTAATAATACCAAAACAGATAACATTCACATTGAACGTGGGTTTATTTCATATGGGCCTGACAGTTCTTACTGTGATAGATTTAGACAGAAGAACAATATTATGACTGATAGGTTTTCATGGTGTGCATCAGGTGATCGAGCCCCAAAATATGCTGCTGATGTTGCCCAGCAAACTATGTCAGATATTCTAACCTATGGGGATCCTAAGAGTGACAGAAGTGGCATCTTTGAATACTGTCAAGATTATGACCAAGATAACCAGGACCATACAGACAAAGAAAACAATAATGAATCAAGGCCAACTGGCAAACTTTATGGATGTGACTCTAACAGCTCTGATTCAAATTTTAGCTGTGATTCAGAAAGTTCTTCAAGTGACTCAACATCTTCTCATACCACCTCTAATAAAACTGAGACAACCCTTTTGCCCAGGAAATGTGATAAAACTCAAAAATCTTACTCTTGTGATGGCTTTGAGAATAATACTCATGTATCATTTATGAGAAAAACCTATTTTTCAGAAGCTGATATAGATCAAACTCATGATCGTATGAAAAAACCTCTTGAAGTCACAGATAGCCCAAATCATGTAAAATCAGTGTTGAAAAAGAAAAGGTACATACCTACAAACATTGTAGAAGAAAGGAAACATAATAGAAAAGGTTTAAATTTACTAGATGCAAATAACATAATTGACTCTTTGAAAAACTTCTATAAGAATTTTAATTTCAATTTTGCCCCTGAGAAAGGTTTACCTGAGAATAGCCTAGAACTCCAAAATGTGGTAGAAGCTTTACCATGTGATGTCAACCAGAACAGAAATTTATCAAAAAGCCTAGATTCTGGTATTCAAGCAGAAGATGAAGATGATTTTGTTGAAATAAGTCTGAATGGTCAACCAGCTGAAAAACCACAGGAAATTTCTGTATCTAAAAATAATATTGCTGGAGAAAGGACACCAAATGAAGGATCCCCACGACATAAATTGACATTAAACATGAAGACACAATTGGACAAAAAGTCTTTAAATAAAGCTGATGCATTCCCACCCTTGAGTAAATATGTTGTGAATTGTGAAAGTACAGTGTATGAACATAAGGGGGTTTCTTATAGTTATGTGCACGATACATTCCAGACTGCTTTTGATGCTCCTAAAGAGAGTTTTGTTCCAATACCTGAATCTACACCAATAAATGAACTAGTGATGAGTGCCAGCAAAACCGATTTGAGTTCAAAAGTATCAGATATAGACACATCAAGTAGAACATCTACACCAAAACGCCAATTCAATAAAAACATTCAAGAAGAAACAGAACAAAAGAATGGTATTCCAAAACATTTATCATCACCCAAAAAGCAGAATGTCAATAGGTACAATCGAAAGTCTGCATCAACTGTACACAAAGTAATTGATGAACCAACTCTAGCTAATAGTGACAACTGCTCAAACACAGACAACTCCACTCTCAAAGGTGCAGATGACTTCAATGATGAATACTTGGACAGTCCTGCCAATCAAAAGCTACAGTCAAATAAATCTGCATTACTTAATAGATACTTGAAAAATGTATGTCAAAAGAAAGATTTAGAAATGAAAATTAGGAATAATAAATTTTTCCAATTGAAGCTTAGGCTAGAAAAGCACTTCCCAAGCATCATATTTCCTTTTAAAGAAGTTTCGGATACATTTCACATTTCTGCAGAGAGAATGTCTCGTTTGATAGACAAAGAGGTCATTGAAAACAAGAGGCTATCTGTAAGGTTGCTTACAGCTGAAGAGCCTTCATACTTTGACAGTTTTGAAGATAATGTTGCCATTGAATGCAATGAGAAACTTAGATTGAAGATTTTCTCCTATCCCAATGAAACTTTAAATAGGGTAGGTATGATATATTGGTCTGATTTATTTCAGTATGTTTTTGATAAATGATTTCATAAAAATCCAGTTAGATGAAAATTCGTTCTAATTATTTGATTGAAAATATTCTTAATGAAAGGCCTGGGTGCCCACACATATCTCAGAATGCCAGGGACAAAGTGAATTTTTATATGAATGAATCCAAAATTTATCAAATATAATAATTAGAAACTTAGATTGAAGATTTTCTCCTATCCCAATGAAACTTTAAATAGGGTAGGTATGATATATTGGTCTGATTTATTTCAGTATGTTTTTGATAAATGATTTCATAAAAATCCAGTTAGATGAAAATTCGTTCTAATTATTTGATTGAAAATATTCTTAATGAAAGGCCTGGGTGCCCACACATATCTCAGAATGCCAGGGACAAAGTGAATTTTTATATGAATGAATCCAAAATTTATCAAATATAATAATTAGAACAAATTTTCATCTCTATAGAAAGTTTAAATATTTGTAAAAATATTTCTTTTGGCTGTTTGGGTGGATTGCCTGAACGTTGATGAAAATATGCTCTGTAGTAGCGAAAAGTAGCAAGTGCTTGAAAGATTCATCAATTGTGTTAGGTCCTGGGTAACTTAGAAGTTAAAGCAGTGGTTAGGATTATGAAAAGGAATAGGTTCAAGTTCCATCTCAGAGTGCCAGAGACAAAGTGAATTTTTTAATTATAAATAAATTTTATCTGTTGTTGGTTGATTTTAGTCAATAAAAAACATAAGGGTCAGTATATATTTCGATTGGAAGTGAAAAGATGTTGACAGCAGACAGACAATTTCAAAATTTGTTGGTTGGCAAAATGTACCAACAAAAATAGTTTTATTTTGCTGTCAACAGCAATGTATATTGACCATAAAGCAGACAGGCATACAGATATCAATTAAGATACCTCCGTTTGGTGATAAACAATGACATTCATTATCATTGACCTAATATTAAAAGGAAGGTTTTTGATTTTTCAGATGATGAAAGTTCAATCACCTTATGATATGGAAGATGGATCGTGGTCACCTCTATTAGTTTTTATAACTGATTATGCACTGTACGTAGCAAATTTAACTCAAGGAGGTACTGAATATGAAATAATATGTCGACTTCCTCACAATGAGCTGGATGCAATTGCTGTGAGTATACAGTTCTTTTAACAGCACTTCTCTATTTATTATTTAAGAATTCAAAAATTCTTTAATAACTTTGCTTTTTAGTTATAATAAAAAAGGTTTAATTCTTGCATATTGTATTGAATTACAATAGTTTTATACATTGCGATGAGAAGTCATTTTGAAACCTATGTTTCCAAAGAACGTTTTCTTTAATTTTAGCAAATAGAATCTTATTTGTCCAAATCAAGGAAAACATGGATCATCACAGTTTGACTTTATAATTAACAGGTTGGTCCAGACACTCAATACATCCAAATAATAGATGTTTTTGGCAACATAGCCTGTTCAGTGGTGACAGGTGAATCATCTCTGGGTGCACGGTTGGCGTCATCGCTGGAATGGAGCGCTCGCAACTCACCCCTACGGATACAACGTCCACCTGCGATATTACCGCTGGACTGCCACCAACTAGCTGCTGCAGTCACAAGACAGAAGAAAGAGCGACGAGTATGTTACTTTCTTAATATACCAATAGTGAAATTATTAAATGCGAGCTAGTCCTGCGACTTCGTATTATAGTTTATGTCACCAGCATATGTTGATGTAGCTTCCATTTGAAGAATTTTTAAAATCAGTCACCTTGTTTTCGAGACTAATTTATTCAATGCAAATAAAGAATCGGCAAAATCTTTCTTCTTTGTAATATCCGTATAGATAAAATGTAAAGATTAAATCATTAATGATATCAATGTCAATGTAATTTGTGGTGTTAAAATGAGTATTAAGCTTGCAAGTTTATTACTAACAGGTACCCGAAATATTGTACTATGGACATGCATGTTCTGGTGACACGGGAGACAGGTTGATCGAAGCCCCCGGAGCCTTCGCGCCGCCCCTCGAGGGCTACCTTATGTGCAGAACTGACAAGTCTAAACGATTTGAACCTTGCTACTTTTTACTTAGGTTAGTGACCATTATGTTGATTTCCAAGTTACGTGCTTTATATTTAAGTACTCTAGTACTTATAAAGTGCAATATATATACAGACATATTTATGGATTTCATATGACCACAAAATATAATAGGAAAATCCTCAACAGGACAATTGTGAAATAGAGAATCAGGCAGCAAGTAACTAAAAAATTACAATTAGATGTATAGAGATTCATACCAACTTGTCAACCCAAATTTACTCTCAACAGGTCAAGTTTTTATTTAACTTTTCACCACCATCAAGATTTTATTATAATTTGACCGCATTTTTGAGATATTCGAAAAAAACTTATAGAGAAGGCTCATATTTTTTATTCATATTTAATCACTGTGATTATTACCCCATTCATTATTATAAAGAAATGCATTTAAGGCCACACTTAATAAGTGAATTAAGATTAATATGGATTGCGAAAAGTAATGGGTTTGAATCCCATGTCAGTGTGCCAGGGACCAAGTGGATTTTTTAAGCATTTTGTATTAAGAATATACATATAAGTTACTACACTTGCCTGATAAAACTCAACTGAGCTTTTAACCATAAACGTCGTCCAGCGTGTTCCAAGAAGAGTTACTATCTTGTCAGAATAGCAAATCACTTCATTCCTCGATCGTCAAAGCTCACCCGCGCTGCCAACGTACCTCGAAAAAAAATGTAGAAACGCTTTCTAAATTGATCTTTTTGTTTAGTATGTGTTGAAATGCTTATTTAATGATTAACTTGACATTGTATTATGGTCTTTAGTCCTCTCACTTTTAAGCAGAACTTTAAAAATATATATACTAAAAATAAAATAATCGGGTACAATTTTAAAAAAGTATTTCTGAGCTAGCTGCTTCTTGGGCCGGGGCCCTCTTAGTAACATTAGTCTAAAGTCTATTAAGCAATCTTAATAGATATTTCGGGTTTTCCCCGTAATATGCACACGAAGTGTGAACAATTAGTTTCGTTATTTTTCATTAAAATTTAATGCTTATGTTCACGTAATAAGGTTTATTATAGTAAGTATATATATATATAATGTACATAATGAGACCGTTAATATACATAACATTACAGTCCTTAAAATAATCATCAACTTTATAATAGTCTTTCGCATATAATAGTCAAATAAATTTTGTGAGCTTTTATTAAAGCTTTATTTTCAATTAGGGCGGGCGTGTTACACTGGGGTGCTCATTCACCGGACGGTACAACGCCGTTGCCTCACAACATCGCGCTCCGGTCAGTGTTGGGCGTGAGGCGGCACGTGGACGCAACGAGGCGGCCTCACTGCTTCGAGATCGCGCTTGCTGACAACAGCCGGTTGCTACTGGCCGCACCGGACGATGCGACCGCCTCGTCGTGGCTGCAGTCGTTGCTGCTGCACGCTGCTCAGGTAGACTTCACTTATAACATAGAGTATATAAATGAGAAGTGGGATAGTTATATAAACGCAGTTAAGTAGCAAAAGTTACTTAGAATTTTCGAAAATCGACAGCGTCAATAATTTGAGGTCACTGTAGATGGTTGCAATCGCCTCGTTATGGTTATCATCATCATCACCAGCCCTTTTACGTTCCCACTGCAGGGGCTCAAGCCTTCCTTATGGATGGCTAAGGAGGATGGGCCATGACCCTCCACGCTGGCCCAATGCGGATTGGAGGGTATTGCAAATGCAGCCGGGACCAACGGCTTAACGTGCCCTCCGAAGCACGGAGTAACTCGAGAAAATAATTTTGGGTCACCCATCCTGTGACCGACCATAGCGAAAGTTGCTTAACAACAACGATCGCGGGCCGCGGCGCTTAACCACTACGCCACCGAGCTACTTATATAAACCCAGTTAAGTAGCAAAAGTTACTTAGAATTTGCGAAAATCGACAGCGTCAATAATTTGAGGTCGCGCTCGCTGATAGCTGTAGATCGTTGCAATCGCCTCGTTATGGTTATATTTAAGCTTATTCGATTATTAATGAATACGTGCGAAGCAAAAGGTTTTACAAAAATTTATACAAACTCTTTCAAGTTGTGAACGTTACTTAGGAAAATGGGCTTCTGATTACGCTCGCTAATAAGAGTGGAGGAAGATCTATGAAGAAAAGTAAAGAAAACTAGTTTATATAGAACGGATTTTCTTCTCAGCGTGTCACTTGTTTATATGAAAATTTCTTGAGACCTAATTTTTCTTGAGGATTTAAGTGGCAAATCACGTAGGCGGTACGAAAATAACAGTTAGATCTGTGATGATAGAAGCGATGTGTGAAGTCCGTTCCGAATTCCGGCTTTAAAATAATATCTAATTTTGTATTGTTACAGTCATTAGAAGAGAAAGACGGCGTCAAAAAGGCGGATACGCTAAAAGGACCGCCGCCAGCGTGCACAGTTTTGGTGACGCCCACCGAGGTCATCAGTCTGAGGGACTCACTAGATCTCAGTTTTGTCACAGGAGCCGCGGCCTACCTCAAGGACAGAGGCTCTGAGTCGTTACTCAAAGGTAATTTAATTATTTATAAAAATAAACAAAAAAGTAAAATAACTAAGTAAATAAAAAAAAAATGTTTAAAGACTAGTTCATCATACATTTTTTTGGTGCTAAAAGAGACGTTAGCGTATTGAAAATATTTTATACTCTAAATTTAAGTAGAATGATGTTAAAAACGTTTAAGTCATGAAGAAACTGAAATTGGTAGTTGTAAATAGAACAATAAGAGTTGAAAATTATTTTGAATGGATTCATTGTTTACTACATTTATCATTGGAAATTACTAACATATAACAGTGATAAGTCAAACGCATTTGTATCAAAAAGCACCTTCCTAGTCTATTAATAATATTCAAAATATTTAATTGTAATAAATTAATATTATAATCATCAATTTTCAAGAGACGGTGAAAGGTCGGTAATGTCTGACATTATATCAGTGAAAAATTTCTTATATTACTTGAATAACATGAGGTTATCATCGTATTTATTACGAAATTATAATACAAACAAGTCTATTTTAAGTTCAAATTACTAAACATTAATATGACTAATGTGAGTTTATACTATACTATAATATTTCAAATGCTCTCAGTTGATTTTGAGCTCTAATTACAATGCATCGAGGTTTAAAATCAAGTGGAGAAATTTGACTGATAATGCTAGCATGATAATTATGAATTTTCACATATTTAAAATGTTTCCATTTCTGGTCATGTATAGATTGCCTGTTTACTGCTATTGTTCTACAATTATGTATGTTGTAGTTACTCTCAGATGAAAGATTTTTCAAATAGGCCTAGTGGTACCGGAACCTGAATATACAAACAAACAAAATTCCTATTTTTATAATATTAATGAATACATGGGTAATATTGATGAATGAATCTGTTTTGATATTTGAGATCATAATATTGATACGACTCTGGGTTTCTAAATTGTTATGTTTCTTTATCATCCACTTATTTTTCTGGTCTTTATCGTAGAATACATAGAAGAAATGAGAACAGATGTCGAGATACTGGCGTGTGGATCGATAAAAAATTTGACGGCATTCAAAATACCAGACACAGACGAAAATTGGTGCTGCCTGGTAAGTATTTATATAGTCTCTTTGACTTTGTTTATTCAACATGTACCTTCGTAAAAAGTAGTTTGTTTTCTATAAAAAGTGATGTACACAATTTTAATACAAGAAATAAAAATAAATTAATGGTGCCTGTCACTAGACTGCAAAAAGTTAATAACTCGTTCAAGGGTATTTGTGTGCGCTTCTACAATAAGGTCCCAAGCAAAATACAACAATTAGATATCATGCAGTTTAAATCTACTATTAAAAATATACTTATTAAAAAAGCTTATTATAAGGTATCCGATTATATAACAGATAAGAACGCTTGGACTTGAGATGATACAGCAACTGGATAGGTGATTACTTCTAAATTCATTATCTTGTTTCCATTATTATTTAATGATTATGTTATCATTATAAGACCATAGGTTTTTTTTTTATCTCTGTTTATAATGTATTGATCTGGTAATGACATGGTTTTTGTAAATGCCATTCATTACTCTTATTAGAGCTGGTGAATTTCTTGCTCGTTCTTCTTATCAGCCAAAAGACGTCCTGAACGTAGGGAAAAAAATGTTGGACGATTCAAAAGTACTTTTAAGAAGTCTATTTGAATAAAGATTATTTTGACTTTCACTTTGACTCAAATATTAACTTATTTAAAGTACTTTTGAATTGTCCACCACTACATTCGATAGATCAGCAATCTTTTATATATATATTTTTTTTGCTGTTGAGTCAAATTAGAATAGTACTACCAAACGGCCATCTTGGTTCAACTTCGGGATGCAAGGTGTGCAAAAAATTAAGCCGACAATCTTTAATTTTTATAAATCTATAATACATTGAGTGTGTTATAAGGAACCCGAAATCATAAAAAAGCGACGTCGCAAGTCGTGTCTAAATCTATATACGAAATTTTTTGAAACGATTCTAAAAACTATTTAGCGTACTTTATTTTGCTTGCCTGTCAGTACTAAAATGACAGCTAAGCCGTGAAATTGGTAGCTGACCCGATCCTATTCTTATTTGGCGTTTATATTAAATGCTAAATGAAATAATGTGCAGGAGTGGAGTGTATGTGAGGCCCGCGAGCGAGGTGCGGGGCTAGCACTAGTGTTGGCGAGCGGTGCGGAACTGGAGCGATTCATAGCCGCCGTTGAGTCGGCCTTCTGTGCTCTTACTGTAAGTAACAATGTGAATTATTCGGCGTACATGTATAGGTGTAGACAATTTTTAATTTGTATTTTTATTTTATAGATATACATGAAATATTACCTAAAAAAATACCATTCACTTATTTTAGGTTAAAATCTAAAAATTAATTTTCAAAATTTCCCGCGAAAACGCCACTTCTGTCATGGCGTCGCGATGACGTCACGTCACGCTGTAACGAATATCGTTCTATGTTTGCATAAAATTCTATGAATTCTCTAAGCTCTGATATGAGTAAGAAATGCGTGCCGTTTGCGGTCACGTGACAATGAGCATAAAATATTTTTTTTATAATAAGCATGTAAGGGTGATTATCGGTCTTACTTGGAATCAAATAGGGGAGAACAGATCATAACGCGGGCCCAGTAGTTGGTTTTAAACAAAGACTAACGGGATATAGTACATGTGGTTCGCCCAAAAAAATGCATTCTACACTTTCATATCAATTAATAGTTCTAGATTTCATACTCCTCCGTACGCTATTAGGACAACTTGACAATGCTTTTAACTAGATCTATAAATTATAATTAATATAATTATAACACAAGCTACTATTACTGAAAAAAAAATCAAAAGATTAAACGTACTACTGTTAAACTGTAGTACAGTTGCCTGTGTTTAAAAAATAACAATTCAATATGATAAGAGTGCCTTATCATATTTTTATTGTTACGTAAATATGAAATTGTAAACATCATTATCATATGTACAGGTGGTAGTCTGAAACAGAGCTTACTTTTTATCTCCAAATATATCCAGAAGATTACTGTTTCGAAATGCATTCAAACATCCAGATACAGAGCGATTAGAAAATTAAAACTTTTTCTTCACAGTGTGAGCCGTTCCCACTGAGTGTAGTGGAAGCGAGCAAGTCCGCTTGCAGTACCGCTCATTCCAAGTACGAAATGGCCTGGACGCATATGTTACCGGCTCAGCAGTAAGCGATTACTAATATATAAAACTGTTAAAGACAATTTGACGCTCCGCATAAGAATATGGCAACACTTTTATGTATAAAATCATATTAGAAAAAGTTAACTTTTTCTTTTATTTTTTTTTTAATAATACTGTGTTGCTATATATAAGTCGCTATAATATACTTTTAGTGATAAAAGTCACTTTCTACATTGTAGTGTTATTTTCATAAAATAACATAATTATTTAATGAAGTTATCTTTTATTGCGACACTTGATAAAGTGAAAAGAATGAATTTAGTTTGTTTGCTTATATTTACCACTTTAAGATTAGTGTTTACATCACGTTTGTGCGTGTAAATAATTCGATTAAAATAATATAATAGTAACATAATAAGTTCAGTTTTCTTATATATATTATAGCTTGAATATGTGTTTTTAACCAAGAAAAATTATGACGAGAAAATACTGAGAAAATGAAAGTATAAATATGCATGTTTCTTTATCTTTCACACAAAGCATCTTTCCAATTTCAATTGTCGATAATTAGAAAACTGACAATTTATTTAAAACAAGAACTATGATAAAGCTTTTAACAGGTTTATTACCTGAATTATTTCATACTTTAACTGTTCTTGACATTCAATGGCTCTTCTCTAGATCTAGGAAAAATCTATATTCGGCTTACGTCTTAGTTTTCTCTTAGAGCTATATCTCAATACGGTGCCTTGGCAACGACTCCAGCAGCGCCGCCAGTCAAAATCACTCATATTGCAGCTTAAGTGTTTGCATTTATATAATAAATACTTTTTACATCAAGAAGACTTTCTACAAAAATGGTGCCTTTTTTTTCACATATATCCAAAACCGAACGTAATAAATTTGCATTTTAAAATTTACGTAATTCTACCACGTGTTTTCATTGCTTCCAAGACAATACATGTGCATAAATCACTGTTATCTGATACGGCTGTGAGTTGCTTCACTGATCATCATAAAAATCCTGTCTAGCACCCGCTTTGGCGGCTCACGACAAAGGTGGTGGCGCTGCTAACATCGCTGTCATAGTATCCAATCGGATAATCAAACATTCAACTTTAATTATTTTTATTTAGTTTGCTTAAAAACCGTTTACTTGGCGACATGATTATTATTATTCGTTATGAATGTTAATGATTTCTAGAAAACTCTTTAGCTGTTAAATTTACCCATAAAGGTCGAATTTATCACCTAAAGTTTAACAGTTCTAGTTTAACAATTTTATCAAAATTACATAAAAATAGTATTATATACAAGCGTCTTTATGATTCTAAGGTGTATTATTCTTATTTACACAACATATGTGAGTACAACACAATCTTAATTTGTGGTAGCACAACTTAGTGAAATTATAATTTAATTGTAATTTTGCAAATTATAAATATGAATATTCCCATAAGAACGTAGGAATATTAGTGACTTAATAGTTATTTACATTTTCTAGTGTTAAGGTCACAAATACTCGATATCAATATACGTTGTTGTAACCTCGCTTATCTTTCAAGTCATATCCAGATTGTTGTAATACATTGAAATGGTAAAAACTGATATTTTGAAGACATTTACCACTTGTCTAATACAACTTCAATATTATTTTTAGTATTAAAATGATCGTATTATTATTTTCTTGTCTTTTTGAAGAACAAAATCAATGGTAGCTTTGTTGTTGGATTTGTTGGTTTAGAAGTAACGTTATATGTACAAATTGGTCAACATAAAAATTAAAAAAATATATAAAAAATTTATTAATTTGAAAGGCTAGTTTACTCTCGGGTTTAGAATAATTCTAAAATGTATTCTCGGTCATTCTTCAAGTTATACTCTTGAAACGATTAATTTTGGCAAATAAGATGAAAAAATATTATAGAAATAATCAGATACTATTTGCGATGTCTATCAATATTATTCTGAATATAGTAATGGTATGAGGTATAGTGATAATTGTATATTTGAGTAAACCCACAAAATGTATCGATTTGAAAAAATAAATATTAATGTCTTGCCAGTCTGTACATATGTATATTGCTATTGTGTTGTGTTTGTAAACTGTCTAGATATTTGTTATGGCGTAGTTTATTTTTTCATGCTATTATTGACAATGTTATTATCGCTATAATGTACATATATGTACTTGTCATCAGTATTATTACTTCGATGTGTAAATCAAGAATAATGTACTAAATGATGTCTTGAAAATTACAACTATTAAAAATATTTTATTAAAGTTAAATAATGTAATAATGCTGACACAATTGGATTGGAACTCCGTATTAGTTTTCAGGCATGTATACAGGAATCGAGTCACAAGTTTTACAACATCGAATATTAAAAACTCGAATAAACATATGTTGAATACCACTATTTAATATTAATACGAAATACTAGTACAAGAGCTGGTGAGAAAAATGTGCAAGAGTTTTTAAACAGTTGTTACTTTAGTATCTGAAAGCAACATCACTTAGTACCCAGTGCGGAAGTCAGTTGCTAGACGGTGTGGTAGTACTTGTGGTGGCGGCCTAAAGTGAAGTAAAATGGTGAAATTCATTAAAACTACTTTGTAATTAATAAACTTTACCGAGAAACTTACTGTTAATATAAAAAGTAGAACAAACTATTCATACTGCACAGTTGTGAGACTCTGTGACTCAGAAGCACTCAGAAGTTTGTGTGTAAATCAGCCCCGAAAAAAAAATCTCAATGGTAGAAAATTAATTAATCACTAGTTAATCAAGAGATTTCATTTCATGAACAAAAATATTGTATTCGTTAGAAGTTTGTTTTACGACGCCGGCACTTTCCAGCAGTATGAATGGTCCAGTACTTTGTAATACATTCCTTCAGTACTTCCACCTACTGAAATATCGACGGTTAGAAAACACTCGCGCATTTGTATCACGCCCTCTCTGTCTATAATCCTAATTTACTTTATACCAATATTTCCACATACACAACATTGTTTTTTCATTTACAAATCGGAGTAGTTAATTGGTATGTCCGATTTAATGAGGGAACAGTTTTCACCAAGGCTTTAGTACTGTGAAGTAACACTATTCTGAAACTTGCAAAAGAACATAAAACGTTTTGTTATTGTGTTTTCTATTCAATGAATATATATAACAAAATCGATGATGTGACTAATGCAAGTATCGAGGAATACGTGGACGTTGTACGCGTAGCTCTATAGATTTTGTACGTGATATGTAAAATTTTTGTATTACGAACCTTTTGTAGCTTTAGTTTCGTTAAAGCTAATTATAATGGTTTCGTTAATTTTTCGTATTAAAGTGGATCCAACAGATGGCGCTGGTGTTGTTGGTTTGATATTTTTGAAAATAACAGTACCTTTGTCACAAATGAGTTGGTCTAATAGTTACTTGCTTAATTTAGATCAAACTATAATAAATCTAAATTATAGATTAAAATTATTAATAATACACTTAGCACCAGAAAATGTTGCTCAAGCGCTTATCGCAATAGTGTTTTATATGACTTTTTTTTTATAAGGATAGATTTCATGTGGCCTGTTTAAATATTTTACATTTAAGTACATTTATGAAATTATAACAATAGCGCCATCTGTTGTCAGTCAAAACCTTAAGAACCTAATGATTATCATTTTGTTGAAATCTGTTTAGTTGGATGTATTATGAATTAAAATATTTTAATTCTATTATGAGTATATTACTATGTCTCAAAATATTTTCGGCTGCTTTGTTGTTTTATATTATTTCTAATTGGCTGTTGCTTTCTAGCTGTTACCAAATATATCAATGTATTATATCATTGTATGTGTATGAGGCCGCTGTAATGGCCGTGTGATATTAATGTATGTTAGGCTAAAATATAGTTGATCTACCACGGAGATAGTTGTATAACTATCCAAGTAACAAACATTCTGAATAAAAGTTGAGTAATAACTGTCATGAAGTGTGCAAGCTGAACACTAAGCTGTATAACGTTTGAGTAACGTCTATTCAGCTGTTATCCAAACAAAATAGGCCTATAATAAAATACTTAAAGCTGAATAACATTTGAGTTGCTTCTCGGTAGAAGCTGAATTACAGAACAATTAGCATTATAACTTTTGAATAATAGCAAGTCTATTTCAACAGAAGTATCACAGCTCGGACATGTGGCTTGAAGTTCTCGTGGTCGTGATAAAGATATTTTATTGCTTGCAATATTGTTACATACATACATTTGTCATAAATGGGTTTACATGTTTCGCCGGCTACCTGACGTGCAAGTTTTTTTTTTTACATACATACATTTGAATAAAAAAATATTAATGAAATCATCATGTGAAAATCATCGCTTTAAATTCAACTTGTGTGAGCTCAGACTCGGAAAATACAGTTGCCAATACTCTTTGGGTCGTTCTTAATGTTTTCTTGTTTGTTTCCTTTAATCCTTGAGAACAAGTTTAGCTTTGCTGCTGATTTGTCTCTAGGTTTCTGAGAAAACGTGAGGGCAATAAGGCTCTTTGTTTGTTGGTCATCTAAGTTCATACACTTTTCTGGTTCGTGCCGCCTCTTTGCGGGGTGCGTGTGTCCAGGATCTAGTTTTACTATATTCATCGCAGATTTTGGCAAATTGCTTGTCTTTGATTCGTTCGATCATGAGAACGGCTGGGATAATTTCCGTAACATCTCTCTTTTCAGTTGTTTTCGAATGTTATTGGACAGTTTCCTTGCACATCTGTTTAATGTTGTTTGCAGTTTATTGTATATCGATCCCATTTTATTACATCACATATACTTGCCGATACAGCATAATTCAACGCTTTTTGGTAATTTGGGATGTCTTGAATGGTTGGAATTGGAATGTCGAATATACCATGAGGTGTATCGACGGCTTCTCTCCATACCCGACACCAGAGCGTTGAATTCATGCGATTATGCTGGGGTGGTATTTCATCTAATGTTTACTTTTGAGTCGTCCTAGCAAGCTTCCACTAGTGTTACCAGGTCTGTAAACCCTTTGGAGGTGTTCAGAGTATTTGCGACGCGCGATCCCTAACTCTGATAATAGAGATGGGGTTCGATGTCTGCTGTTCTTAGTTTCCTGACCGACGCATGCGGTTACGTAGATGTCGTCAAAAGCGAAGAAACTTTGTTCCTTTTCTGACATATTTGTTGAGGCATATACTTCAGAAGTACTTGTAATTGTTTGTTTTGCTTGGTTTGGTTGTTGTTGTCGTTTCATTTCAAAATATTCTCTTTAACTTTCGACGTAGAATACATTTTAAGTAAAGCGAAATTAAGAAAGTGATACTGTATTCAGCAATAAGCTGTTTCAAACTATACTCGCTTAGTAATATCTTAATAATAGAAAAAATATATTATTTATTCATATAAACGTTGTCGAAGGAGCTGTTTTTCAGCTTTAAACCACTTAAAATTAATTTAATAAATGGTGTATGCTAAACCGGTTATTAAGCACAAAAAAAAAGAGAGAACATTAATACAGAATTTATCAAGCAATAAGAATTTTGTGATTCCGAACTCAACGTAATTCAGCATTTAGATATTATTGAAACTTTTATACAAAGTATATTCATCTTTAAACTGTAAAATTCTTTAAATGTGTTCTGTTACCATACTTGTGTGTTACTTGGGTAGTATACCCTTAGTTATACAACTTATCATGGTCCTAATATAATGTAATTGTAATAGTGTCAAATGTCAATACAGTGTTATGTATACTTTAAGACTTGATTACGTATCTCAGTTATGTATTTATTTAAGTTAATTTTTATATTATTTTCTCTCGAAGGTTGATGGAAATTATGTTTTATTATACTATGTTTTAAAAATACTTGTAATGAAATTGAAATCTATTTATTTAATATTTAATAAATTTACAGTGCCTTTGAGAGATTTGATGCAATAATATGATTGAATTTGAAGATTTTTATTTTATATTTTGTGTATATTTAGTTTTGTACTGCCTTTTGAACACATTGAGATTTTTGTGAAGCCAAGTTGTTATTCCTCAGGCTTACTGTGCTAGTGTTAATGCTATACTTAACGTGTTTCCGCATCTGTGATTTGTGTTATATTATTAAGTTTTTGTTGTCGCATAATAAACCTTATGATTAAGCTTACTACAACAGTTCTTCCTTTAGGGCTCTAGCGGGTTAGGATAGTTATGTTTCGCCAGTCGATATGCTACTTTATCAGCTAACTCGATCGTCAATTAGCAATCGAATCGATATATCGATTGTTATGATCATAACACATCAATCGATATATTGATTCTATGTTTGAATCTGTATTTCAGTTGAGAAATTGTAAGTGTTATAAAACTTATTTCACTTGTTCTAAATAGTCTTATTTTTTTTTTAAAATACAAATCCTATTAATTGTCCACTTTTTACGTATTTCCCTTACATAGATTCTCAATAGAAATGAACTCATCGGGAATCGGTTATAACATTAATCACTATATAGAAAATGGATTTCCATAAAAATGTGAATCATTTATTTGAAACCAACCAAGTCACCAAGGAAATGTGCTCACAGCAACTTATCAGCTTACTATAAAGGGCAAGTATATTAATTCAAGACTTTATTATCAAAAGATTAAAGCCGTGATTAGGGAATGCAATCTCGTTCTCGCGAGATCTCGGTCTTTATTAGCGAGATTGATCTCGAACGAAAAATATCTCGCGAGTTTAACAAGATTACACTCGAGCATAAAAACGATTTCTAATAATCTCAGTTTAATAGTCAATTCATTTCAGTTTTTTTGTATTTTTGTTATAAAAAACTGTGAATCACAACAAAACTTTTGTTTGATATTAGCAGAGAAGACTGATTATTAGTACTTGGATGACTAAGCTTTACTCGGCAATTTTATAAAATAAAAAAAATTGAAGCTAACTAAATCGATTCATTGCCTCTGAAGGCCCCTGCATACTTAATGTCATGAAAATCGTTGGAGCCATTTCCGAGATACAATAATTGCTGTTTTAAAGGTTTTAGTTGAAAAACTATAATTGCGTCAAATAATGTTAAATCTATAAAACTATATCGAAAATGCCGTAAAAAAAACTGTTTATTTCATAATACCTATAATTCCCATATTTTTTCCTAATTTATTCAAATATTGTGATTTGAATAAATATTACAGTAAAACAGTAAACACGCAAAAGTGGCAATCTCGCGGGATCTCATAATTGGCGAGATCTCGCGGTATTGGTAATCATAAACTCGCGAGATCCCGCCCGAGTCCGAATCTCGCGAGGTTGCATTCCTTATCGATCGAGGTTTAAAATAAATGGCTCATCAAACAACTGTATTTTTGTAAAGTACAGTTCATATTTTCAAAGTACAATCACCATTGTCAAATGCCCCATTCGCAGAATAAACAAATTAGTAAGTTTGACAAAATCTTAGTGAAATTGCTTCTTGCCTTATTGTGATGAAACTCGCTAAGTCTATGATTATCAAAATTATTGGCTATATTTATTATAATAAATTATTTATTAATAAACTAGAATTGACAATATCTTCCGTTTCGCCTATGACAGCTGTGTGAAGTATTAATGGAACAATAATAATGTTAATGTCATGCTATAAGATGTAGAAGTAACTTTTGAAAATAGTATTTTACATGAATGTTACATGTATCTCCATCCATTTTGTAAAAACGTCACATCCTATTTCTAATTTGTACTTAAGAATATCCGCCAGTTGAAATACGGGCTCGCTACTGTCGTTTTTCGTTTAGGTTGTTTACCTGTAAAGAATTTTATGTGAGCTGCCAATTTTTTATCACTGACAAGATAATCTTAGATACACAATAGAAAAGGTAATTTGTGCCTCATATCTGACAGTGTATTATGATGTCAGTTAATTTACAATTAGTATCATTCTTATTCATTCCGATAGCATTCGTATGGAACTCATTGAATTTGTAGAATATCTTTAGTGTTTCTTACATAATATCATCTAATCAATCCACAATTTTCTGCCCTCAACGGATCTCAAATATCATGTTTATAGATTTATAATTACTACTGCTTGACATGATTATTCGTATAAAGGGTTTAAATAAATATTTACGGAATAATTTATTGTGTATTTATTGCATTTGCGATACTAGCCTTCAATACCTGGACTCGTGACAAGTAACAATCATTATTCTTATAACAGGCATTCTAAAGGTGGAAACATATGTGATATTGTCGACGCTGTCTCGTTTTATTATTATTACATATATTAGAACGAATCGGATATATTTGTCGTGATAAATAAGACACAAGTCAACATAGAAACAAAAACTGATATTATAATGTCGCGTGCCTGAACATTGATGAGAATACGCTCTGTAGTAGCGAAAAGTAACAAGTGCTTGAAAGATTCGTCAGTCCTGTTAGGTCCTGGGTAGCTCAGTGGTTAGAGCAGTCACGCGGATTGCGTAAGGTCGTGGGTTCGATTCCCATCTCAGGGTGCCAGGGACCAAGTGGATTTTTTAAGCATTTTGTATTAAGAATAATTTTCAGTATAGCATTGTGAATGCAAAATTAATAAAAATATAATACCTAAATCTTGTCTAAATTTGGTATTGATTATTATCAAATCAGAAAACTAAGTACCTATTTGTTTTAGGCTCAAAACAGACACGATATTTGAAAACAGCGGAAGCAAAAACAGAATTTTATTAAAATAAAATAATACAATTATCATTCTAATTAAAATCCATTAAATTATAAACTGTGAATAAATACATTTTTCAGTATTGATCGCAGAAAAATATCAAGTAGGTAATATAAAATATAATGTCAAAATTAATACTTATTGGAAGTTTCGTATCGATTTCTAAAGGGTTAAGTTGATATCCGCCGCTGTTCATCTGTCGATGTGTTGTAACCACTTAATAAAACAAAAAAAAGATCTCACAAAACAGGTTTGAATGCCATCTATACGGGTCTAACTAGAGGCCCGCCGCGAATTATTAATATTATTATACCGGATATATACTCTATTTTGAATTCTCAATTAGTTTAATGTATTTTTTGCTTCTGTTCTTCTAATAAAGTGTTGTGCAATATGGTGTAATTGAAATAAAGCTTTGTCTTATTAATAAATCGAAATAAATTGAAATGTGCTTTGATTTGTCACAATGATCTGTTTAAAGTATAATCAATATTATAGGTACCTATATGATTGATGCTAATTAGCAAATAAAGATGCAAACAGGTACGAATGAGCGGTTAATTAAAATTCCTGAGGGTCTATTCTGTTTGCCTACGAATTTTATTAAAATGAAATCCATGGAGATTTTATCATCAGAAGTAACTTCAGATCTTCTTTCGATGATTTATTAATTAAATTGGTATGATAAAATCACACCATAATATATATAAATAGGTATTTATTATTATTGGATCAATACTAGTATGACACCAAGTTGTTTGTTACAAACATGTTTTATTTGCATATCGATCCGGTAGGCTTAAGTACAAGCTACGCCGCAGAACAACTCAGTAAAAGTTAGACAAGCGACTGTTATAGTGCACTTTTGTTGGAAATGGCCAATTTAAAGGTATGTCATATCTCTCTGTTTTTTCTTAAAATGCATTAGTTAGATGTCCGATATTAGTACTATCAACTCAGTAAAAGTTAGACAAGCGACTGTTATAGTGCATTTTTAGTGGAAATGGCCAATTTAAAGGTATGTCATATCTCTCTGTTTTTTCTTAAAATGCATTAGTTAGATGTCCGATATTAGCACTATCCATGAATATATATTTTTTGTGTTTTAGTTGATAGTTCGTCTTACCCATTGAGATATATTAACATTCCAAAAATAACAGATTTTTCTGGAATAATATAAGTATTTATTGTGTACAATATCGCATATCATCGAATGATCAATTCAAGATCATAATGGATAAATCTGTAGTAGGTACTAATGAAGTTTAATAGTTTATTTTTAACATAGTCATAACATAGATTAAAAAAAAAATGTTTATTGTTTCTAATGAATTTCAAATAGGTTCTTCTTAATATTTTTCTTTGATGATAGATAACGCATACTTATTAAATATCACCTTCATCTAAGGCCACCCGACTAGATTTCAACATACGATGTTGTAAACAAGCATTGTACTTATCATTTAAAACAAACTATTTCTGTGCTAAAATAAATTTATTTACCTGCATAGAGCAAGTAACGTGCGTTGATAATATATCTCCGTTTCTCAACTATTGCGTTTATATTATTAACACGCACAATATTTTTATTACGCATTTTATTATTATCATTGTGAAGCACACTCATTAATTTTTTGTTTTAGTATGATAGGTTCTCACGGGATCCTTAAATATAAGGGAACTCGATAAATATAAGGTACACGGTAGCAATCCTTCACTAATAATTATTAATTTTAGTTACGTACGACGTAACATATAACTTCCCTTATGGTTCCGCAACGGAATTTCTGTAACCGCTATCGTTCGGTAAACGCACTCACAGTAAAGGTGTGATCTACTGAATAATGGAGACAACTGGCAAGGGAAGCTTTAGGATAATTGTCTCTCTCCGAGCTGGGTATTATTAGCTCAGCCTTTTTTCGAGGAAATGCATTAAGAACTCTTCGCTAGCCGCGCGATGGGTTCGCGGAGTTATACCCACAAAAACTACTACAGTGTACCGTCCCCTTGGGATGTGATCCGGTAAACCGTGACTGCGTCACCAGGACACTCGCTCCCTTTCGGATGAAGAGGCTCGGGTACAACCAGAGCCTCTTCTAGAAAAGCGAGCCCGTGCGATGCAACCAATCCACTCTGCTGATCTCGATAGTTGTGAGCTCTGCTTACATGTTTTAGTAAAATTTTATTTCACAACAGTATCTATCGGGCTTTGGATCAGAGTTTTCTTCGGAAGACCCGCGGAGGCCTGGCTCACTGCCCGACGGACAGAATAATCCACAGCTATGTCCATATGGTCTTTATGCGGAACAACTTTCCGGTACTGCGTTCACCGCACCAAGAAACGATAACAGACGATCATGGCTTTACAGGTAGGTATTAGAATAAAAGAAAACAGGTTTTCTATTAAAAGTGAAACATGAATATAAGGACTTATGACTGCAAGGGTTCTATTGTCTTGTTTCTCGATTTCGTTATGTTGTGCTGGCTGAACCTGTGACAGCAGCTCATACTTGCCACGCTTGATTAGTGCGGATTGGTTGATGTTAACGAATGCATATGCAGCCGTGACCAACGCCTTAACGTGCCTTCCGAAGCACGGAGGAGCTGTAGATAATTATTTTTAGTCACACCGGCCATTGCGAACAACTTCACACAAAATAAACTAAAAAAAATATTTTTTTCAAGGATTCGACCATCCGTTATCCACAAGCCATTCCGGAGAATAAACACTGCTAAATATCTCACCCACAACTGGGATGAACAGGAACCTGACCCAAATCAGGTAATGGTATTAATTATCGAATATTAAAATAATTATTTAATATGGAAAAGCAGTGAGATTTAGAAATGACTGCAAATTCCTTTGATCGAATCGTAAATTCAGGTTAGAGGCCCTGTAGACAAATAAGTACAGCCAATAGGAGGGGAGGGGAGAACTTGTCGATCCAAGCTTGATGCCGCTCCAGGCCTAATGGGGTGGGATACATAAGTGAATAAAATGGATAAATCCCTTATAATTTCAAATACAATATCTTAAAAATATATTTATAAAATTTATTGCATTGTATAATGCTATTACTGACTTTATAAGTATTTGTAAATTCTTTACTATTTCGAATGAAGAATCCTAAGTTTTATACGCTTTACCACAAATAGGTACTTACTATGTGGTCATAAAGTTTAAAGTCAGTCGTAAAACGAAATTCCCAAGTTTAGCTACGATACCCTTTTCAATTTTATTGAATTTATGACATAGTAAACAGGGTTACATTTTTAAGTGTAAGATATCGTTACACATTCAGATGTAAACAAATTCAGTTTATTTTGTTTACCCCATATTACCACCTTGTCTATATCATTTTGTAATGATACACAGTTTGCCATGCTTTTTATCTGAAGAAAAAGCTTTAGGTCGTCAGCAAATTAGAGATATTGTGCCTTTTCAATTACCCTCGGCAGGTCATAAATCATGATCACAAATTGAAGGGACCCAAGATTACTACCCTGACTCACTCCTAACCAGACAAAATATTCATCAGACCGGCAGCCATCGTACTCCACATATTGTTATCTAACCCCCATATAACTGCCGAAAAATTGTAACATATGAGGTGTAAATCGGAGCTCAGCCAATTTTCGAAGCAAAATGTCATTGTTCACGACATCAAACGCTTTTTGGAAGTTAAAATAGGCGACGTCCACCTGGCCTCCACTACCTATGCCTGGTATTAAATGAGCGGTATAGTTCATAAGATTGCTAGTGGTACTCCGTCCCGGTCGAAATCCATGTTGTGCTTCAAAAAAGTGTGGACAGATCTGTAAAAGTATGGTGTTCTGCTTGGCTGACTCGAATACCTTCGCTGGTGTTGAGAGGACCGGTCTACATCCATCTACACAGTCGCCCGAATTCTCTTTAGGAAGAGGAATGACCCGTGTCGGTCTTCATATTTTCAGAAACACTGCCGCTTCTAAACTTAAATTATAGATGTGTGCCAGTGGGTCAGCTAGAACATACCTACAGTCTCTGAAAATATAAGGTAGGATTCAGAACAGAGGATCTCTTCGGCTTAAGCTTGGTAAGCGTTTTTAATACGACAGCGGGTTGCAACTTTTCTACATGCACTCGTGCTGACCCATTTAAATTTCACGCCTCTGCTACCGCCTCACCATTGATCTTAAAGAATTTACAAGTCCCAAGTGCTCAAGATGAGATACAAACCCACAACATAGTGCAATCTAGGGGACTGCTCTAACCATTATCATACACGAGATCTTTTTGAAGCATTTGTCACTTCGCTACCGGTGAGCGTGTTTAGATGGATTGCCTGAACATAGAAGCATTTTTTATGATACCGATTTATTAATTTTCACCCATTCATCAGTCTCGCTGGCTTCCCTTCGACTTACCACCAGCAGATGTGCCAGTAGACTTCGTATGCGGTCTGCACACCGTCTGTGGCGCCGGGGATGCGAGAGCCCGTAACGGTCTCGCCATTCATGTGTACCTTTGCAACACCTCCATGACTAACAGCGCCTTCTACAGCAGCGATGGAGATATGCTAATAGGTAATGAGCCTAAATTAGTTCTTATCTTAGTTACGGGTCAATCTACTCCAAAAGTACCAGTACAAAAAAATAATTCAAACCTGTTAAGATTTACATTTGTAAAATTAGACAAGTTTAAATATCATAGATTTCTTTATGATCTTGTATCGGATAACCAGTTTCAATGCTGCTAACATGATTTGTTATTTCTTAGATAATAATTTAAAAAAATAACTACATTAATCTTGTAATATTTATATATGCATAAAATCTTAGGGGTACTTAGGGGAATATGGCCGGCACCGACGATAATCAAAAATATATTACATATACTTATCAGCGCTTTTGCCGCGATTTGACCTGCGTATGTTGTTGCTTCCCATAGGTGAAAGAAGTTTCATGGTCTGGATCAGTATTTCCGAAGTTTACCTCCTAAAAACAAAGTACCTTTAGTAACTTTATGTATGTCTTTAAAATATCCAACAGATAATATGTAAAAATATGGTTTAATTTCATTCTATATCACAGGAGATGAGTAGGTGTATAGTTATTTCTGCTTCTGTATTCATTTGAAATCATAATGTTATGTTATATTAGACGACTCTTTTTTGGCCTGGTTTTATACACTACGATATTTTGTTTCAGTACCACAACAGGGTGTTTTGAAAATAACAACTGAATTTGGCAAAATGGAAGTAGCACCTAATGAGATTGCTGTCATCCAGCTGGGAATGAGATTTGCAGTACATGTAGATGGTCCATCCAGGTATCTATGTTAAAAAAGAAAAAAGTTTAACAATGATTTCTTTTTAACGATTTTAAGTAAAATTTAGAACATTGAAGGTAACACAACATCTCGAGAGAATATAGGAAAGTTCATTTTCTGCATTGACTATTAAAATCTAAATAGCTCAAGAGATAGACCTCTACTTATGAGTATAAAAATTGCTACCCGATGGTCTTGTAGTTGTTAATTCAAGTCAAATGTAATCAAAGTCAACAAGGAAGGTGTGTCACGTAATTTGCATTTTTACAGAGGTTACATCTTGGAGGTGTTCGACGGACATTTTAAATTGCCGGACCTTGGTCCTATCGGTGCCAACGGGTTGGCCAATCCTCGCGATTTTCTCACTCCAGTGGCGCATTACCAAGAAATAGAAGTGCCTGGTAAGTAGGCCTACATTTGTATAATTTCAATTTAAATTCTATTGCTTATATTTTTATGAGCTACAAAACTCGATTGGACGTGGTTATCCGGTTAGAACTGTGTATAAAAAAATTTGACATATAAAAATCGGTCAAGTGCTAGCCCGACTCACGCATGAAAAGATCCATACCATTATCTATAAAAAAACTTTAAAAAAATACGTTTTTTGCATGGGAGCTCCTTTAAATATTTAGTATGTATTTATTTAACAATAACAACAGCGGCTACAGAAATAATTCATCGGTGAAAATTTCAACTGTCTAAATAATGTGGTTCATTTGATGCAGCCAGCAAAGCAATCGCTTAACTCCTCTTGCCAAAGGATGCGATATCTTAGCGATATTCTATCACTATTTTGTTTAATTTTTCGACGTTTAAAAACTCAGACCGAATGATAAAGAATGTTGAATGTAGATTTTACAGTAGTTTGTCATTTATCCACCAAAAGTCATGTAAAAAAATCACCATCTACTTCGACTTGAGAGTTAGACGCACCGACAGCGGAGTCTTAATAATGTAATAATGGGGTCCTGTTTTGGAAACGAAACTACGGTCTATACAAAACGTAATTTCGAGTCAATCCATTACTTAAATCTTACGAGAATTTTGCGACTACTGTTCCATTTCCTGCGGGTTAGTGTAAATATATCAATACTGATGAAACTTTTTTTTTTAGAATTTAAGATAATCAGCAAGTACCACGGTGCGCTGTTCGAAGCCACTCAGGGGCACACGCCTTTCGACGTGGTCGCGTGGCACGGAAATTACGTGCCCTACAAATATGATCTCAGCAAGTTTATGGTTATCAACGCGGTCGCTTACGACCACTGTGTAAGAATACTAACATTGATTATCCTAAACTTAGTAATAAAACCCAAGAGTAACAGATCTACAGCAGCTGTAGAAAAAGTACAGTCAGCGTCATAATTATCGAAGCGGCCAAGTTGGTCAAAAAGATGTCAAGTACATAACTGAAGTTTTATTAAAGTAAACAAAGGCATTTTGGCAATTGGCATCATTTCTTTAAATTAAGACGTACATATCTAATATCCCAAGTAACTAAAACCTCTGTGTTATGTAGAATCTAAGACTACGAAGGTACCACAACACCCAAACCGAAACAATACAGAAAAGTCCATTTTCTACATCGTACCAACCGGGAATCGAACCCGGCACCGCAGAGATGCCAACACCTTGACACTGGCGTGCGGTCCACTCGGCTACGGAGGTCGTCAAATTAATGTCTCCTTCGAGCTTTCATTTAGAAAACCAATACATAAGATTTTACCAAAATCTATTCATTATTATTATAAATCAATTATAATAATTATTATAACAGGACCCATCAATCTTCACTGTGCTCACATGTCAATCCACAAAGCCAGGAGTAGCAATCGCTGATTTCGTGATATTTCCACCGCGCTGGTCCGTGCAGGAACATACTTTCAGGCCACCATATTACCACAGTATGTACCTACACTATTACGGATTAGGTCAAAGGCGAAAAATAAATAATATCATACACAACTTCTACTTTTTAATGGATGTTAGATATTCCACCGATAAAAAATACTATAATTTATAAACTTTATATCAATAAGAGATAAAATTTACAACGTATGAAAATAAGATTATAAACACTACTTAAAAAGTTACTAGAAATATAAAAATATAATATATAGATTTGTTTTAAGTGGATATACTCATGGCTATCTATCGATAAAATGCAACTAGAGGAACATAATATTTAAAAGGCCGTTGTTTGTTTATTTTCTAAATGGTCACTATTATGTATCAAGGAAACTGTATGAGCGAGTTTATGGGCCTCATCCTTGGCGCGTACGAGGCGAAAGAGGGAGGTTTTCTGCCCGGTGGCGCTTCCCTGCATTCCACGATGACGCCTCACGGTCCTGACACCAAGTGCTTCGAGGGTGCATCTAATGCTATTTTGAAGCCAGAGAAAATCGCCGTAGGCACACAGGTTTGAAAATATTTTAATTGATCGTGTGTTATTAATTATTATGTACCTACTATATATTTACTTGAACTTGGTATCTATATTATTTAGCTGTGCTAATATTATAAAAAGGAAAAAAAATTTGTTTGTTTGTGTGCATCGAATAGGCTCCGAAAATAAACAGATTTAAAAAATTTGATGACATAGACTATAATTTACGCGTGCGATATCGCGGGAAAACAACTAGTTATCTATAAAAATTAAGGACAAAACAAGGTACCTAAATATTATATTTCCAATTTTGTATTCACAAATAGTATAGCAAAATATTGTTAATGAAAAATACTTAAGAAAGCAATCGGCCCCAGGTACTCTGAGACGAGATTCGAAACCACGACGTTTCGCTCAATAATTGACATCGACAACCAAGATTAACAATTATAGTCCGTTAATTATAGAAGCGTTTTGTGCGATGTATTAATTTTATGATATAAACAGATTAAAATAGTAAAAATCCTACAAACATATTATCAAAACACTCACACATTCACAATGTTAAATTAAATTTGTTTAACAGGCATTTATGTTCGAGTCGTCCCTCAGCATGGCCATCACAAAATGGGGAGCAGAGACCTGCCAAAAACTGGACGCCAAATACTACGAGTGCTGGCAAAATTTACCAAAACTGTTTTCAGACAAATTATAACCATTCCTTTTAATGTAAACTGAATTTATTAGTTTGAATGAAACTGAATTATTTTTAATATACGATTTGATACCATAAAAATGTTTTATTTTAATTAATGTAAGTCACATAACAGACAATTTTATTTCTTGTCTCTATCTACTTTAGTTTATCGGAATAAATCGCTTCTTCCAGTGTTCGTAAATTTTTTCTAAAGCACCTCGCCTATATAGTTTAAAAAATTTGAAATAACGACCATTCGTAAATTAATAATAAAGCAACTGGTAATTTTGATGAAATTCCTTCACAAGCATTTGGACGCCACGAACTTTGTGCGTAAGCTTGTAATATTCCGCATTTTATTTCTTTCTTCATATTAGATGTACGCGATATACGGATCATGTAACAAGTCATATCCTGGGTCACTTCTATGGATTGACCTTTCGCTTGCAGAGCGTCGACTACTGTGGTATTCGTGACTGTGATTGTTGTAATAGAATTGTTAGAGTTTGGTTCACCGGATTGCACTTTTGTCATATTCGTTACTGTAGTAGAAACTGTATTTTTCGGTACAGTATTATGTCGAGTCGTCGATGGATCGGTATCCCAAATGAAACTCGACATGAGCTCGCAATCGACTCGAGTTTCTTCGTAGTCACCATTTTTTCTTCTTATGCCTAGTTTACACATTTCACCCGGTGCGCTTACGTATCTTCTATCCGGATCGTAATGATGGTAATGGTCGTGGTTTGCCGACATCCTGCCCAAATTATACAAGGCTAAACCGGTGAGCAAGTTATCAAATCTACTTCCGGAATCTCTGTATTGGTAAACATAAACGGGTGGCTGTGCGTGATATACTGGATAGCTGACGCTCCCATAGTTGACTCGAGGTGGTGGACTGTAGTGATAATTTTGATGAGAGTGATGGTGTACTTCAGTCTTCCTACCGTGATAAGAGCCATCATGTTGACGCGTTGTCGTTTGTTTCGTAACGTGACTGTTGTAATTACTGTTTCCCGAAAGTCCAGTCGATGAAGGATACAAGTGCGAGCCACCTGACCCGGTGCCAGAATAGCCAGTGGACGCCGGATAAGTATGAGTACCACCGCCGCCGTGACTACTGTGCGAGGATCTACCGTAACTGCCAGAGGACCTTCTGGCGAAACTGTAATAAGGACATGTCAGTAGTATAAAAAAAAATATTTGAAGACGAGCGCTTCCGAACCCGCTTAATTTGACGACTGCGTTCGTCATTATTTTCAGGAATACTAACCCCCAGACATTGGCGGCGGCAAAGCGACACTACAATGACGTAACGGGGCGCGGTGCGTAAATGTAGGCGCGACGCCAGTCCGTCCCGTTATGAGCAGGGGTTGGAAGAATGGCAGTGTTTTATTTATATTTATTTGTCACGCAGGCAATATTTGATAGGTCAAGTGTCTACTTTATATATTTAGAAACATGTGGGAATGTAATTAACCGTGATATTAGTGAACATTGCAATTAGATTAACTTATTAAAATTATACCTAAAAAAGTATGATTTACATAAAATTTGTTGACAAATTTACGCTTATACAGGTCGTCCCACGACTATGCCATATAAAGAGAAAGTACCTTAAATATTTTAGATGGAATATTTTACTGAAAAATTATATTATTAAAAAATAATTTGCATTCATAGATACAAGAAAAAAAAATTACCCTGTCGCTTTATCATACCAATCGAAAGACTTCATCATAAGTATTAGAAATTACCTAGTGTCAGAAATAAAAGGAAAACTATGAATTGTAACAATTTTAATTGTATGCAACAAATTGAGCCATATCCTGAGCCGAAAGACGCGTAAATTATTTTGTCCATATAAATGCGGCTGGCTAACTATAAAGAAATTATTCAAAAATGTATTTCATTTTCAAACTTTTATTCTTTTGTGTATGTGCAATAGACTAGATACAATAATCTCATTTGGTCCAGGGAGAATCTCTTACGTATCCGCGAGACTAATAATCAAGTGCGTTTTTCGTTCGAACGGCATTTGAATACGGAAAGGTATTTAGAAATACTTGACGAAATGATATAAATAATCTTCCAGTTGCAGAACGACAAAACCTTTCTTTTCAGCAAGATTTCAGCAAGGCGCCGGCTCAAAACAGTCGCAGAACAAGGGACTATCTCAATGAACACTTTCGTATCTGGATCGGGACAATTGGACAAATAAGACGGCCGCCAAGATCCCCGGATCTAACCCCGTTAGAATTATTGTATGGGGTTATGTAAAAAAAAATAGTTTACAAGAACCAGTATGAAAATTGTCCACGAGCTACAAACAGAACTTAGACGTATTCCACCACAACAAGATCAAAAAATCGACAAGGAGTGAATTAATCAAAAGAGTGCGACTTTGTATTCAATAGAATGTGAAATAACATACTCTCTTTTATTTCTCACACTATATTATTTATCATAAAATAATCATTATGATGAAGCCTTTCCATTGGTATGATAAAGCTACAGGGCAATTTTTTTCTCTCGTGTAGCGGATTCGATTCCCAATTCAACCATGTAATTATTTAAAAATCTATGAATGCAGTTTAAATTGTTTTTTAAATTAAAATAATATCTTCTTTCAGTAAAATGTTCCATCTCCAATATTCAAGGTACTTTTCTTCATGTGCCATAGTCGTGGGACGCCCTGTATATATTAAGTATTTTTGTATTAAACCACATTTTCATTCCTGAAACTATATAGGGAGTGTTTCAAAGTTTGAATTCCCAGGAAAGTTATATCTACTAAACCATCAAAAATATAACGCAGTTGGTGTGCACATTGTGACCTAATTCCCTTTTGATATAAAATTGTGTCGCCATTCAAATTATCAGTCAGTAACGAAATAGGGACAAATAGCAAAGTTACGTCGTTTCGGAGATAAACGAATCTTTGCGGAGATGCTGTCCCAGACAAATAATAAGACAAAATCTAAGGTAATTAAGATCTAAGATTAATAAGGTATTTATTAATTTAAAAAAGAAAGCCGTGTTAGTTACATCATTTATAAGTCGAGAACTTTTAGGTAAGGTTCTTTTTATGGTATACTTTGTGACAAAATATTAACAATCATGTTACTCCTAAGACTGACGGCTTGTGTACCACATATCCACTTAAATACCAGCGGCTATACTTAACAGTTGTCATTTAAGCTATCTGTTAAACATAATTATGAGTATTTGACTAACTTAAAAGATTTAAATACTTTTACAATAAAAAGTGTTCATCTTAAAGAACTTAGAGAAGCAGGGTTGGATAGTCTCGGCACGATTCTCATGTCACTATAACTCTATCAAATTTAAAACGTTGCCTATTTTCTTCAAACATTTAGGTAGTACAGCTTTTTTAATTTTGTCAGCTAATGATATATTCATAATAGTCAAAATACGTAATCTGGGATTCTCATTAATTGTAAATGTTATTGCCTTTCTTGTTGTTTTACCGTATTCCGTGAATGAGTTGTTATTGTATTATTGTTGTTTTCTTATAGCTATTATCTTTTTAAAGTTAAGTTTTGCTTAATATGGACAATTCCGGTGCAGGTCTGAATGGCCTACAACAATTAGCTCTGACATTTCAGGAAGTTTTTCCAATATCTTAATCAATAATCTAATATCTGAATAAATGTTATAAAAGTTATAATAACAATTTCATTTTCCTGGGCATAATTATAACTAAATTCTATTCTAATTAATCATTTACAATTATTATTTTACAAGCCTCATCGCAAAAGAAAATTGTCCAACTCTTTCAGACTACCTAACGTTCAAATTTTCAACAACACTATTATATATATTTTTAAAATTTATCTTGAAAATAAAATGTTCTGCACTGCTGCTTCTGTGATTCTCTTTATTCTAATGTTATAATGAATGGAGTTATAGCAGTTATTATAGGTATTATCGCTGATCGTTGACTGGTATCATATTTGTATTGTGTCGTAGTGGAATTTATAAAAAATCGAGCTTAATAATTTCGTATTAATTTGAAAATCCTACATCTGCTCATTCAAAGATCGCTGGCTCAGCTCATTTACTATATAAGTATATAATGGGTGCGGTACCACAAGACTTGCCTCCTACACTCCTTCCAAAGCAACTTTAGGAGACTTACATGGGTCAAAAATTAAGAAGAACGCAGCTAGACTGAAGGACACGCTTAGGTTTGAAATGAAAAAGAAATATATTTATTATTACGATACTTTAATCATAATAATAATCTGTAGTAGAGCTTAAAATTATCCATTAATGGGTTAGTTACATAACCTTAGTCAGTCCATCTCGAGACTCTAGGCTTGGCATCCCTCTTCAATAAAAACAAGTATCAATCAACCTTCCGAATCGAATTTAACGCTTTTACCGCAATTAAAATACTTATAAATATCCATTGACATAATATTCGTTTTTTAATTGCGATGAAACACAAATAGACCAGTGATAAAGATAGGAATTATAAATATTTATAATAAAAAAAAATACAAAGATAAAATCGTTGAATCTCGACCAACATCTGTTACATGCACAAATCATTCTCTTGTTCAGCAAATATAAAATAAATATCGTTTCTTATGGAAAAAATAAATACAACATAGTCATCGCGAGATTCTAATGCATGTAAAGTATTATTTCAATATTTCGCCACACAACGGACGCGTTATGACGTCGGCGTAGCATTAGCGCAACGTTTTCAGTTGCAAATGTCGACAGTGACAGCAGAGCGACTCATTTTCTATTCTCAATAGTCACAGCGTGCAACCATAATAGAGCAGCTTTAATCACTGTTCCCTTATTGAACAGTGTGATTTGTTAAGATTACAATGTTAACTAAGTCGAAACTAATGGTAGGCCTAACACTGTGCGAACAGTTCCATTTTGGTTTAGCTTACACGCTGCGCATTATCTAGTTTTTTAAAAGTAGTCATCCCACGCGACCTCGCCAACGCGATGATAATTGTGTGATATTATTCTTCCTTTCTTATAATAGCTACTTTCAACCACAGCTCTGCCAACTTCACGTAGGTATCTGTGATATCTTCTATAATTACTAATTCATTACAACTGAACATCGTTACTCTGACGCGCACCGATATCGACAATTGACAATATAAATGCGCTGTCGCAGGAATAGTTATAAAAACTATTTTATTAACGTTAAAGATTTAAACGCGATTCGCACATCGTATTTTATCCACCCTTGAATACCCGCACTCACCTATAAGAAAATCTAATTTTACCAATGTTGGATGGTGTTCTTATCACTAAATTTTATCAGTAAACATTTTAACAATGCAAATGGCGTCTCATTCATTGTTTATAAATAAAATTATACTTCATATATACGATATACATTTATTGTGACAGTAGTCAACTGACCAGGACTGAATATTTTATTACCTACCATAATATTAAGCAGTAATAAATGTCACGTTATCAGTTAATAGGAAATGCATGTAAATAATATCACCAAAGTCATTAGATGTGCGCTTTTTGCTATATAATAGCGCGTTATACAATTACATCAAAACGTCCTTCTTAATTATAATCTTCATTTAAACAATAGATATCCCAATAATAACACAAAAATACGCGTATCTTTCTTCATTTTATAAAAAAAAAATCTTTGTTATCAACTAGACGCGTATAGAAGCGTATTGTCCGCCAATTTCTCATGGATGACCGTTACATGGTAAGGATAAATATATAATCTTGCGAGGAAGAAATCAAAGTTGCTCCTCCTGTGACATTATTTTAATTTGTAAGATCTATTCTTGCAATGGTTACTTTTTGTCAAACTATAATTCTTCCAATTTGACATAGGTGATTATTACATGGTGTAAATGATTCAACAAATTTTGAGTAACTTGTAAGATAATTAATCAACATCGATATACCATATGTTGTTACATTATTTCTACATTACATACAGACTTTACTGCGATTTGATATTTACACAGTCCGTACTCAATTTCTCTATTGGAGTATACTCAGAATATTGAAACATCTTACTATCTTGATACTATTGATTAAGTTATATAATATATTTATACGCGGTGACTTGTCAGCTCCCTACGAGTGGATATTATGTTAGCAAAGAAAGAAACTTTGCCAATACTTTTGTGAAATTTTCCATACATATTTCTTATTAATACAGTAAATCGGTTACACATAATACTCTATCACATAAAAAGGACAAACAAATAAGACATCACCGTGTACAAAATTTGAACAGTGTGATTATGAAAAAGGAACATTGAAAACATAAATGATCATTATTCATTGAACAATTTGCATTTAAGAGTCTATATAAAATATATTTAATGTATTACAGGGACAACCAAATCGTCTCGCACGATAATTACAAATAGAGTTAAAAATAAAAGAACTAAGACCACCAAGCACAACAAAGCACTGTATACTTAGTGATACGCAAAGGAAAAGAAACGCTGCGTTTTTTGTATAAATATACTTCAACACAATGTCGTCCAGTAAATCACTATTGATGATTTATAGTTGGTCAGCAAGTGCTCGGTCACTGTCGTGTTCAAGCGACGGTGGAGGTGGGCGAGTGTGGGGGCGAGGCGGGCGGCGGAGGGGGTACTTGTGGTGGGGGGTAGTGTGGGGGATGGTTGCCGGGGGGCGGGGGCGGGGGTGGGGGCGAGTGCTAGCCGTGGTTCACGTTGACGCCGGACTCGAGCTCGGACGCGGGCGTCTCCGGCTCCTCGTCGTTGTAGATGTTCTCCGCCATCTGCCACACCTGCGCGACGAAAGTACGATTTGGAATTACAGATACTCAGAAAAATAAACTAGTAAAATTCCTAAAGAACTTTTTGTTTAAAAGTGACTTTTGATAAGAAAAAAGATCATAAAATGGAACTACTCCATATTACAGCATATTTTGAATTGCTCAAAAAACAACGAAAAAATTGGAAGAGAGATTCAGTTAAACCCCACCAAACTGTCTTCATATAAAACTAAAAGTATTTAGATATAAATACATATAATTTCTTTCTTGTGAAATTATAGCCCACCGTGTATGATGTAGTATCCAACAAGTGAAATATTTTTTTAAAATCAATCCAATATTTTTGTAACCGATAAACGTGTATTTTACTACTTTTAAAACAATCACAGTTTCCCTTAAACCATTTTATTTCTCCTATTTGATTTATTTGATAAATCCTACCATTGCCTGTACATACCTGCATAATATTGTCCTCAGAGACAGAACATATGACCCATGGTTCATTGGGGTTCCATGAGAAGTCAGATATTTTGGCTGTATGTCCGCCGTGTATGAACAATAGCTCAGGTGGGCCATCCTCCGCGTCTTCCGCCGTCTGTTCCTCGCCGATCTTTGATAGATCCCACACGTGTAGTCTGAATAACGATACATTATATTACACTGCAGTATATGCGTAAAGATGTTTATACACAAATGATCTATAGTGTAGATAATAATCTTCATTTAAATATAAACATTCTAAATAGCGAAACATATAAAGAATATTTAACCGAATTATTAGGCCCTTTAACCTGATTTGATATATCGCCTTTCCGATCGCGGTATTGAGTGCGTTTTGATTCAATCTGATGTCAAGGATACACTCACTATGCTATCTTTTATAGAAAATAATATTTTACCTTCTATCAGTTCCACTGCTTGCCAAGATTGTTTCATTGTGAGGTGACCACTGCACTTGGAAAATTTCATCTTTGTGCGACTCAAATGAATGTAATTTTAACTTTAGGTTTCGTAAGTCCCATAGAGCAACCTGTGTCATAGATTGCATAAATTATAAATAAAATATATATAATATTTTGTTACTATACTATATTTGATCAATTTTGTATACACAATGCTATACTAGAAAATATTCTTAATGAAAAATGAACTGAGCCACCCTCAAGAGGTTGGCGTAGTCGCCCGGATTGCGAAAGGTAGTGGGTTTGAATCCCATCTCAGAGTGCTAAGGAAAACTTGGATTTTTAAGAATATCTTTTATGACATAAATTTCATAATATTGCAGAAATAAAATTCGTATTACTGATGATTGCTTGAGTACATAGATTTGTGGCATAAGTTTAATGCTGATTGTAGTATTTCTAACTGTATTCAATTATTTGTATGTGTTTGTAAACATTCTTTATTATAGATTTTTATCTATGATGTTTAATCATGGTTTCATGAAAGTGATATTCAAATTTAAAAGGATTTTTATTAATTTAACAGAATTTAGCTGCTAATATGCAGAATAACGATTTATTATAAATATTAAAATTGATGTTGTCCCTTACAGTTTTATCAGCACTGCCAGTAGCAAGGATGAACTCAGAGTAGGGGTTAAAACTGAGGCAATTCACTTCAGCAGTGTGTGCGTCCACTGTGTGGGAAGGCTTCGATGTATTGTTACATCTGAAAGATTAAAAGTAACTTTTATTTATTTAGAAATTGTTGTTTATTCAAAATTCGTCAACCTTAATATTGATTTGATCAAACCATTGATTATTATTTTTTTATTTAATTTAAATAGTTTAGAGAGTATTATAACAGAATTATAACCAATGGCAATAGCATTAAAACTAACGAATCTTAGACTGGTAAGTATACTAACAATATTTATAAAAAAAGATGTAATGCATTTAAATTTAAATAGTATGAGTAACTATAGTATACCTCGTATCCCATATCATCAATTTTTGGTCATCTGCGACAGAACCGAAGAGAGACTCGTGTAGGAGATGCCACGCGACGTCCTCCACGACGGCCGTGTGTCCCGTAAATACAGACTTGGCTTCTATCACGCGTCCTTCCTTGGGCGTAGCGTTGATATCCCAAAGGCAGATCGTATGGTCATCGCTGAATAACACAATACATATGTATTAACATAAGCTATAAGGTGACAAATGTTTATTTTATAGTACTACTATTCATTAATATCTATTCATTATTTATAGTACTACTATACATTAATATGATTGCTATTAAATTAGGAGAGCTATAGATAATCGGGTTTTTGTTTATAATCTATGGACATATACTTTATTTGATTTAATTCTAGTCATTTGGAACTGTCATGTAACAAGTAACTTTTTTCAAATATATCTGAGACTGAGAGACTTATTTTTGGATTTATAACATTAGCATTGATTAAAATTACAAACAGATAACAAATTCTAAAAATCTAAAAATATAACCTGGCTGATAGTAGATATCCATTTAGGTTTGGGTTCCATGACAAGCCATAACCTTCCTTTTGATGACCACGAAGCCTAAGAAATTAATAATAGGTTAAAAAAATATATGGCAAAACATATTCAAAATACTGTTCTAAAAACCTTCAAAATACGAAAGCTTCTAATAGACTGAAGACATGCAGTTTTAATATAAAAGCTCCTTTGTGAACTGCATCATCTTAGAAGCCATTGGTTTGATCAACTTAGCTGCAAGTATATACATTCATGCTTACCTAAGATCTGGGTGGCATTCTCCAGAAGGTTCTGGTTTGGAAGGGTGTTTGGTATAATCAAATACTAATACATCTGAAGACGGAGTCTTTGTTGCAATGACACATGGGTTTTGTGGCATGTAACGAGCTCTATTAACTTCACCTTCATGGTTGATCTTAATCTCGATGTCGATCTTACCAGACACTGAACCAAACCCGCCAAATTCTGTAATATAAAGAATTATACCAATTACTTTCTCAATGGAGATCTTTGGTTAAGACCCAACTCAGGGTTGCAAGACATAACTATTTTATTGTTCTATGATGATATTTATATATATGTATGTTTCAAGAGCTATTAATGTCGAGATAGAATAATACAACCTTAAAACATATTTTTTGTGCATAGTATTGAATTGCAACATTCTAGTAAAATCAATCATAGTTATTTATCATCTTATCTAGTCTGGCAGTTGGTTTACAAATTACGCTGTACATTTTCTCTACAGACTATAAAATAATTAATGGTAAGAGAAAAAGTACTTCATTGCCTCTAAGGCAATTAAGTACTTTGCCTCTAAGGCAATTAAGTACTTTTTCTATATTTGGACCCTAGTATGATCTCTCTGGCTGCTACATGACAATTATAACAATAAATTATGAAATATATTTGAATTGGTAACTTTTATGTAAACAAAAACTATGTGGTATTTTTCTTAAATAAATGTTAAGGTAATGCCATCTCATTCTCGCGAGATCTCGGCCTTTTTTAGCGAGATTGATCTCGGTCGAATCTCGGTATATTTTGATAATATATTCTCCAATTTCTTATAGATCTCTGGGTACACATAGATTTCTTTCATTGATAATAATCTCAGTTTAATAGTCAATTTAACTTAATTAATGAGTTATATTTTAGTTATTTAGTTAGCAGAGAAGACAGGTTATTTATTTCATTTCTCATTTGATTAGATACTTAAAAGTTTAGTCTCTTAAAAGGTTAGTACTTGGATGACTAAGCTTTACTCAGCACTTTCATAAAATAAAAAATTAAACCTAACTAAATCGACTAATCGCCTCTTAAAGCCCTGCATACTTAATGTCATGACAATTGTAGGAGCCGTTTCCGAGATTATACAGTAATTGTTCTTTTAAAAGTTTAAGATAAAAAGATATAATTGCGTCAAACAATGTTTAATACAATTAAAAGTTTATTGAAAATACTCGTAAAAATAAATGTTTATTTCATAATACCTAATTTTTTTTATATTATAGTAAACACACAAAAGTGTCAATCTCGAGCGATCTTGTGGTATTCATATTCATAAACTCGCAAGATATCACCAGAGTCCCAATCTCATGAGATTGCATTGCCTAATTGTGCCCAATTGTGATTTTAAATCATTTTATTAATGAATTTTATATATTGTATGAACCGTTGAATGTAATTATTTATATTTAATGTATAATAACTTATTCCCAGTATAAACTATTGTGGTTTTTTAAAAACAAGATGATAAATGATTAGTAATTTATATTCCTTAATAAAATTAAGTTTTAAAACACTTTTCCTAAAACAGTCAAGTAGCCAATTGTCAATAATCATAATTAAGTTTATTTCTTAGGAACCTCAAAGCATCTGCATTCTGTAAGAAGTTAATACCATTTGACTGTGTTGGTGAGTACTGGTGATTTATTTTTAAGAATACATTATATCAAATGTATTCTTAAAAAACAGTCATCAGTATTTAAGAAGATACTATTCACCTTTATTACCTGTTATCTACAAATTGACTGTTGGGACAAACTAGCAAATAAGGTAAGATCTAACTGTATGTATACTAAGACTACTTTATCTTAAAATTTTTGTCTTCCAGCCTTGAATCTTACTCAATATTAAACCTGGATACAAAATTTTCCAAGTCAACAAAATAAATGGAAGATATGGTTTTGATGTTTAAATTTGGATAGATGTATAGTTTAGTTTTTAAATTTAGAGGATTAATCCTACAAATCATGTCACCAGAGAAGAGAGAAAAAATCAGAATAAACTAATAGAGTTATTAAAGAAAAAAATAAAGTCAGAAGCAAAGAAAATGAAAATTATGGGAAATGTCGAAAATGGAAGAGTCAGTCAGTCTTATGACTAGATTTCAACAAATGTTACGTATTAGTTATAAATGTTAAGTATTCGATCAAAACCATAAAGACACAAATAAGAATAAAGTAAGAGAATATATAATAAAGAGGAAGATACTGAAAGAAGAGCACTAGAATGTAGATCTGTGTCTATGCATCATAATGAAAATCATGATTGTAATTTGGTGAATTTTTAAACATTAGCCATTAAGTGAGTATACTATTGAAAATCATTTTAGATTTTTTTTGACAAATCAAGTTTGCATTTTTGAGTAAATGATATAGATTTGACTTAATAATGGGATTTTAAAGTAATTTAAAGGGCAGTTACTTTAGACATTGGATACATGATTTTTCATGAATTAGCTTCACCAGTACATGTTTTGAAATATAATTTATGCTTAGCCATCTCAAATATTATAATTAAAGTTTTAGTTAAATAATTGATACTTCTAGCACACAAACATGATAATGTTGAGCTACACCCAAATGCCACTGTTCTTGGATGAGCAAAATCAAAATTATTTATAGAGCTACGCCATTGGTTTGTAAATCTACGGTGGGAGACCTTGTACCGAGAAAAACCAGCAAGAAACTCAGCAAGGGCTGCTTTTTTTCTCTGTGTTTTATTTCATACGTCAAGATTGAAAAATGACTTAATTAAAATATGAAGTCACTTTCCATTAGCTCTTACAATATCTCTCCAACCCTCAACCAGTTGTGTATATTAAATATGTGTGTATTATATATGTGTATATATAATAAATATGTATGCATTATATGTGTATATTAAAGTGATGTTAGGTGTTGCCATAACCAATAGATTAATCAATCAAAATACTTAGTGCTTATCTGAACTGGCTTAAATTTGATGTTTAGTCAATGAAGGTATTTAAAAAAACATATTACACCCATCACAAGGCTTATCTGTTTTTGTTAAAATTAAAGGGTATATTAAATTTATTTTATATTTCACAATAATATAATTATATTTTTGAAACCTAATAAAGAGATAAGAAATTTCATAACCATATTACTTTTTCTAGGAGCATTTAGAATAGAAGTATAAAAAATCAGTCTACCTACTCTAATGACTATGTGAAAGGTAACATTTAAAATTATTTAAATATATTGTGAACTTACCACCCTTATCATTGTCATAGTGACTGGCGTCAAACTGAGCATCTTCATTAGGCAGCTGAACACTGGCAATCAGCAAGTGATTTTGTTCATCAGAAGTGTGTGTGCCAAGAATTAACCTGATGAAAGCCACAACTGATTATATTAACATCTGATAGATTCTATCATAATGTTAAACACAAAACCGAAACAAAAAAGCAACATTCGGATGAGAACAATGAGTTGGTCAAAAGAAAGCCTTACTTGTCCCTGTTTAATTTAGTATTACAAAAAAAAATTACCTATGAACAGAATAGTCCTTTCCTTCAGGTCTTGTTACGTCTGGTAGCCACTGTGCTGTTAGCGAGGGCCATTCCAAGGCATGGGTCATTACCAGATCATACAAAAAAGGAGTGTTCTTTTTCCATATCTTATATTCTTCATTGATAACTCTTTCTTCAACAGCATCGTCAAATGTTTCTAAAAATAAATAATATAGCAAAAATTTAAATACCAGTTATCCAACTTGGTACACGAGAACTGTCAAGAACGTGAAAATTTCTGGCCGCCCTTTTTCATTTCACTTTTCAAATGGACGTTATATTTACCTCCATCACCTTTATCCCCCATTTTAGTATGACAAATTAAAGCTTTTAGTTTAAAATATTATAGAGTAAAAACTGCTTGAACGACAAACGACCCGGCCTCAAAAGGCGCCAAACAACAAAAACCCTGAGCTTGCCTTGTCGGCGTTGCTATTTTGTTCGACAGATAGGTAGCACATAAACTTCCGGTTAAAAAATTAGTTACTATTTAATAAAAATAATTATTATGTATTTTATCAGTAAAAGACTTGCACCTTAAAACGATACTAACATTTAATCCTATTATTTTAAAATAAAAAAATATCTAAAACCTCTCAAAAAAGTAAAGAAAGCAAAATTGAACGGATATGGAACAAAGAGTACAGTACATACTTTTTGTTTAAGGTTCGATTAAAGTGCCATCCACACGGTAGGGCTCGGAGCTCTGACCACCGACCATCTGATGGTTACAGTGCTTCAACCAAGGGGTCGAAGCCATTGACCTAAAAGTACTATAAACTTAGGTGTTTCTTTGGAAATTGAACTGCCGCTTTGATACATCCGTCATTATTGTTCAAAAATCATTAAATATGATTTATATATGTTTAAATTGGGGACAAATGTCTGTTTCGATATTGGTCAAGATTCATTATTTTTGAAGAACAATAATGACGGATGTATCAAATCGGAAGTGGAACTTCCCTGTGCTTCACATTTCCCGGTGCATCATATTTGAACATTTATGCAACAAACAAAGATATTGTTATGGAACGCAGCGGCGTGGTTCGTTTACACATTACTAGATGGCGTTATGCGCCAGTGAATAGCGCTAACATTATTAAAATTAACTGTGTTATATACAGAGATGTTCAAAACGACTAAAAATTATTAACGCGGTAAAGACTAATGAAAGCGCATGGGTACATGAAGATTCGTTTAATTTTGTATCTCGCTAAACCTAGTAATACGTTAATTAGTTTATGTTGTACGTAAAATAGATTACGTGCAATATTAAACAATAACTCATTATTATTATGTTTAAATATTTAGAAATAAATTATGGCAGTACTTACTAAATTAAAAGAAAATCTCAATGAGATCATGGTTTCCTCATTTTATTTAATAAATTCGTGCTTTAAAAATTTGCACACACAAAAAAAATGGTTTGTTCTAGAGTTTGATAATGGCAATGGCCATTTTGTTGCAAAGCCTCTATGGGCAAATCAAAGAGTAATATAATATAGTAGGTATAGGCTGGGGGCAAATCGAGACAGCTGAGTTACATGCACAGATATAACCTACATGTCACTGTCAATCTGTCAAGTCGTAAACATGGCTGATATTGAAGCTCGGCGTGAAGCTCGACGAAAAAGAATATTAGAAAATTCTCACAATAGACTCCAACTAATATCAGGAAAATGTAGTAACGAAGATTTCAGTGTTGCTTCTAAAGGTAATTTTATGCTTTTTAGGAATCTTTTGACTCATATTCATCGGTCTGATTACTACCAAACATTTGTTTCTATTTCAGAATCGACTGATGTGTCTCCAATACCTCATAAATACGAAAGTGCGTTATCTCCTTTAACGTCTGATAGCGGTATTTCTGAGTATTCTATTCAAAATGGTGGTCTTGGAACGTCAACAGGATCATTTGAACCATTAATATTGAGACATGACGTCGCATCTGGTGATGAAGATATAGTTTCAGCAGTCGCAGACTGGATTGCTCCCACTTCACAAATTACTCCTGAAAACGTTCAACTACCATTATGGAAGTTAGTTGTTACGTACAAATACGACATAGTATTACTTTCATTAGTCATACAATTCATACATACACTGACTGCATTTCCACTCGAAAATTCTTATTTTTTCGTCCCTCTATTAATATACAGTATCACGAAATCACTATGGTTACCGAAACAGAATAATTCAAGCATTGCAAACTTGTTTCTGCTTTTGAATGGTATGTCATCTAATGGGATGCACAAGATTATTAATGTTTTATTATGGGCTGGTGCATTCAGTCAAGATGCCTGTATTTTTCTTTTTACAACAATTTGTATACAAATGCTTTACAATTTAGTTAGAGACAATTTTGTTACTTAGTGATAACTTCATTGTGCTGTGGCCATTCTAAGGGCATTATACCGACTGAAGTTTCTTACAATAGCTGGTTAGCAAATACAAGAATGTTCCATAGTTTTGATTGCTTGTGCCTTTATATATAAGTGAGAAGATTGACATGTGTGCGTTTTAGTCACATATTGCCATTTTAGTTTTTAACAAATTGTGAGCCGTTTTGTACATATGTAGCTATGAATAAAACTAAGATTACAAATTATACATACACACCAGTTCTGTATTTCACTTTAACTATTCAACAATGGTATTCATACCAAATTTGACTTTATAACAGATCATTTGCATATTAATATATAATTTTAACAATTTATTTATGCAGGTTGATGCAATCATAATTTACTTCTCAAAGGACATAAAAATGGTACTTAACGTTTTTCATATGCATTTAATTCATTCAGTGTTTGTAATTTATATATATTACTACTTTATTAACTTCAAAAGTTTAATAGGAAAACAGTTTTTTTTTTTGCATTTTGCATAACCGTTTTTGCCAAAACTTGTAAAGGCCTAAATACATTACTATCTCTTGTTTTATAGTCCAATCCTTGTAATATCAGAACAGTATTTCTTAACCTTGGTCGTGGGTGGTGTTGGGATGGTTGTTAGGAATTTTTGAACATTATCTGAGCACCTTAATAGCTGTCATCCTGAATCAGAATATATATTTAATTATGTCATCAATTTGAGGAAACTAGGATAACATCATATATTATTAACGCTGATATATAAATATATGTCAGGTATTCACCAAAAAGATTAGGAACCTGTTAATAGAACATTAAAAAATGTATCTGTCTCTCTCATTTTATGTATTAACTTAGTTATCAGTATAATTTCAGTTGTAAATAAAGGACAAACAATTCAATGTAAATAAAAAGTTGATTATAATTAATTATATTTTGTAATATTTAATTAAAGAATGGGTTTTTTTAATGAATTTTATTTCATTTAATTCCAAAATGTTCATAAATTATCAACTCCCTGTACTAAACCTGTAATAAAATGTTTCAATTAATATTTCATTTTAAAGGAGTAATCAAATTAATGATCAAAATGAAAATAATGGGTTATAATAGTTGGCATAGGCTAGGTGAGAAAAAAAAATAGGATGATTGTTATCAAAATAATGTATTCAAATGTCAAAAAAAAACTACATTTACAGTAAAGAAAGAAAAAAAAAAATTTGTACATTCTATCAAAATTTGAAAAAGCTTTTTATACTACTTATAAATGTCTTACTTTTTTCTTCTAAGTGTGATTTAGATCTGGCAATATTCAAACTAAGATTACCCTTGTCACCCGTGCTCTGATTTTCTTCTGACTTATTTATATTTGGAACTTCTGTGTTATTTAGCCTTATTGGCACTTCTAGACTAGAACTATTTAACTTAATACTTTCTACCTCTGTATTATAATTTTTCTTAATACTAAGCTCTGTAATTAAGTCAGTAGAGTCCTCAGAGCACCCGAGTCCCTATTGGTTTGTCTTAGCAGTCTTTGGTTTCTTCTCCCGTGAGGGTTTTACACGGACTAAATCTGTTCGTCCAATATTTATCATTTTCAGTTCCCATGCTTCCAGATCTTTTCTGTAGGTTATAAAAAGAATATAATGTTAATAATTTAGTAATGAATAATTTTTACTAGAGTATTGGTTTTGTAAATAAGAAATATACAAGCTTACTTATATTTATCCATTAGATTTTGTGCTTGCTTTTCATATTTGATCCTTTCACTTTCAGGTAATTTAACCCATTCAGACTTGACGTTTTCTTGAAATTCTTTGAGATTTTTAGATTGAAAAGATTCTTTCTTTGTTTGTGAGAATAGAAAATATGAAGACATGGGTTTTTTAGGACGACCCATTTCTTTGTATTCCTGTAATATTTTAGAAGTTTAATAATTAACTTTACAGTTAAATAAATAAATTAAAGATATAATGAAACTGTAGTCATTTAAAATAGTAATTCTGATAAGAGCACTATTGGCAAAGGAGTTACATGTTTTATTTTAGTTTCATGCAATTATTTCAAAGGTTGGTGTAACAAATAACTTTATTTTTTGTCTCTTTAGTGTTAAGGATATATGGTGGCTTATTTGTTTTTATAAATGATTTGTAATGTGATGGGATTTTAATTTGGTATGATTTGCCCTATTATAAACTTATCAGCAATCATACAGAAACAACTGTTCAATGTTTGGTAATGTCTTTTAAGGGTAATTAGACTGATTAATCAGAATTGAAATTTGTTTATAGAGTTTGTTATAACAATATTACAGCTTTCAATTTCCTTTTTTCTCTAGCTTCTGCTAACTCCTCTTTAACTCTTTGTATGTCTGCTTTTTGTTGATCAGTCAAAGATTTTTCATACAATTCCTTGATTTTCCTATAGTCCTCCAAGTCTTTTTCATATTCTTTTGTCATTTGGGTTTTTGTCTATAACAAAAAAACATTACAGTATTTTCTATTAGTAACAAAACTCGATTACAATATACGTAAAATAAAAAAAAAACAGAGTAACAAAAATATTAAATTTGTCACAATAATTATTATCGATTGTTTACCTCAGCGTCAAGCTGTTGCCAATGTTTGGAACTCCATACTATAGCTTCCTTTGATGTGATTCCTGGATTCTTAGCCAGTAAGGCTGGCCTCATTTGTGTCATAAATTTGAAGAATGGAGTCAACGGCCTTTTTGGTTTTTCTATGCCTAGTCTATCCTCAGCTGATTTTTTTGTATAACTGCATACTTGCTGTTGCAACCAGTTACTTCTGCAAATGATATTAGTTAATATTTTTTATGAACAAGTTTTTATAAAATAGTTTGAATCAAACTATCATTTGCTTCACCTTAATTTTTTTTCCATAAAGTCCTTTAGAAAATAAATAAATATAAACATTAAATTAAATAAAAAAAATATATATCATAAGTAAACAACTATGAAGCGTCATAACCTTAAACGTACCTTCCATGTAATATGGATTTGTAGCTTCCGACTACATAATTATTGAAGCGATAAAATTGATTAAATAACGACATTCTTTAAAAATCCTTAGTTTCTATTTTAAAACACGAGACTCATTAAGAAAACCGACGACAAAACTTAACCATCGAATTAGCGTCGCTGTAGTTTTGCCTGCCTGCCAAAGAGTAGTATAATACATAGCAAAGAGTAGCATAATAAATATATAGATTATACATGCACAGATTATATATATATATATATATATATATATATATATATATATATATATATATATATATATATATATATATATATATGCATATATGCATATAGGCAGGTATGTTGGTATATATATATATATATATATATATATATACCAACATACCTGCCTGTCAGTTGTCAGTGGGTGTGTGTGTGTCAATGGTGTGACAGAAGACGAGAGTGACAGTATAAGATGCAACGATATATCGGATAATTGATAGATATCGATGCCTCTGCAAATCGATATTAAATTTAATTTCGAGTACCTACAGTTCAAGAAGAGTAAATGTAAATATCTGTTGTCCATGGACAAACTATGTTCATATTTTAACATCTACCGTATTCATAAAATAAGAGGATCCTTTTGACAATTCGGCATATTTTTGTTTGTTTTCACTTCTGGTTAACGTGTTGGTTCCAGATGTAATTGCAAAACTTGCGTTGGTAACGTTATGTAGTGCAAAAATAACATGTGATTACCTATGCCTGAGCACAAAATTATCAATAGAGGACATGTATTGAATCTCATCGAATTATCTTGTTTTTGGTGTAAATCGTACTGCAAAAGTAATTTCTTTTAAACAACAAAAAAAGTCAAGTCATGCACGACGCACTAAGTAATCGATATCTCACATTATAATCGATATTTACGGTCTAATGACATTTGTCAAAAGGACCTCTTATTTTGTGAAGACTATAGTTGCTTAAGTTCATATGTTCATAATATGCGCTATTTGTTAAAGATTAAATAAATAGTATTTCCGTTTCGGAATTATAATGTAATCATGATTTTTATTGCTTTGTAATTTGTATTTGTTTTTTTAGTATTATTGTTTGTGCTTAATTTCATGAAATTTTTTTATTTCTAATCCAATCCCAATATATTTAAAGTAGTATTTTACTACTGCGGCCACCAGCCTTTTGAACATCTTTTTATGAAGCAGAAACGGGTTTCACGGATGTGCAAATTGCTGTACCTAAATTCAGTCACTGCCTCCAATTATAGGCCGTAATAAAAAAAATGATAAAAATAATTAAACAATTTTATTCACTTAGGATTTTTACAAAAAAATATGTTTTTTATTAGAAAAGTTACGTGTTAAATTTTCTCTTGGGCTCGGGGTCGTAATCAGATTTTTAAAAGTATTTTTCCTAATAGATAGAATGACAGGCTATCACAGAACATAAAAGAGATTAGAAGTAGTAAGTGGGTGGGGCACGCGTGGCTGGCATATGCGCTTTTACTCATACGGCGCCCTTTTAGAGCAAGAAGTTTTTACTCATGTATAAAATATTGGGTTGGCACAAAAGTAATGAGACACACTAGAAAAATCTATAACATTTCCTTTTTAAAATCAATTTTTTCGATAATATTCTAGAATGTTGTAGAACATTCTAGAATGATACACGTCGTGCTTTTTGGCTGCCTCGAGAAGAAACGCCACCAACTCAACCGAAGCGGAGTCAAAAGAACCGCCGAAAAGTTCTGCTTTGCTGTTTCTGGGATGCGCAAGGCATACTGTTTTATGAGCTATTATACAATGAAACTATAAACGCTGACAAATATTCAACCCAGCTTACCAAATTATCTGCCGCTATCAAGAAAAAACGACGAAGACGAGTCAATGTAGTTTTACTGCACGATAACGCTCGACCTCACGTCGCATCTGTGGTTCGCCGGCAGTTGGAGAACTTGGGCTGGGAGACGATACCCCACCCACCTTATTCCCCAGACCTCGCCCCATCAGACTATCATTTGTTTAGAGCCCTGAAACAGCATTTGCGGGGTAAACAATTTAATGATTTCTCTGACGTAGAGGCGGAGTTGAACAACTTTTTCGAGGCACAGCCATCAGAGTTCTGGGCAAAAGGCATCCAAACTTTGCCGGATCGTTGGCAAGAAGTCTTAGATACTAATGGTAATTACATCATTGACTAAACTTCTTTTATTGTAATAATAATAAAAAAATAAAAACTTAAACCAAGTGTCTCATTACTTTTGTGCCAACCCGATACTTTTTTAGAACAATTTTACTCTTCTGATTTATTTGACACAATGTTTATTTTTGTGATTAGCTGTCCATGCCTATTGTTCTTTTTTACTTCACTTCTATTTTGATGTTCTTGCAAACTATAATAAAATTCATAAAATCTTTATTTAACGTGTTTGCATATGCATAAAGGTACTGAAGTGCCAGAAGATATTTCGACTAAACAAAGAGAACATCAAGAAAAAGTTAAATTAGCAATGGAACCATAGACTAGATCAGGGGTTCCTAAACTTATGTCGTCTAACTTATGCCCACTTTGAGTATTTAACTTAAAACCAGTATAACTTCAAATTAAATTAATTATTGGGAGCTATATTAGCGGAAATTAAAAATTCATTCTAAAGAAGACTTAAATTTATTTTATTTTTTCAATAAAACAGGACAAATATGCATATATAAATTACACTGAGAGAAATATAGAACCGAGTTATTATGAGAAATCTCTTAATTAACATTATGTGTTGATGTTCACAACTTATAGTTCGTAGTCGAAAGCTCAGTCAGTGTCGAAAAGTCCATGTAAATAAAATCACAATTCGCCGTTTAATAACTTTAAATATAATGTTTTGCCCCCATTACAATATATTAGGTCCTTACATATGAAATTGATGTTTGGTATGGCATCAACAAAAAGTCGAATATTTTTGTTAATATACTATATTTATTTAATCAAATTATAAACCATTGTTATCTATGTACTTTTGCCATCTCATAGGTAGTTTATTTATTTATTTATAAATGGTACACAAACAGATCATAATCAAAAGAGAAACCTACAAACATATTTAAAGTATTTGGACTAGACTATAATCTAAAAACAGTGTACACAGCATGAACAGTATAAACTTACAACATGAACAGATCCTTAAGTAACTTTTAGTATACAGTAAATTTAAATATTAACTGGTGTTAATATTATAATTATAGAAATTTGTCTGATATTATTTTTTTATATTTTGAGAATTTATTATTGAAAATATCGACAGTTCCATCATTACGATTCAATTCGTTATATGTACGAGACATTCTTACGATCGGGTTATAAAAAGAGGTATTATTTTTGTAGACTCGGATTGAAAATGTGTTAGGGTAACGCGATTTATGCCTGGTATTAATGTAGACTGAAGAAAGTAACCCAGGTGAATCAATAAGCGAATGCACTATTTTATGTAGATAGAGGAGGTCATATCTATTGCGGCGAGCTTCCAACCGAATCATACCAAATTTTGTCAACCTATCACTATAGCTATTAAGTGAGCGACCAAAATTATATTTGCGAGAAACATATTTTAAACATCGTCTTTGCACTCTCTCCAATGCTTCCACGTGAACAGTATAATATGGTGACCAAATGGGACAACAATATTCCAGTACGCTTCTGATTAAACTAGAATAAAGGAACAACACACTACTAGGACTCTTAAAATCTTTAGTTGTCCTGATTATATTTATTGATCCTATCAATCCTATCAATGATTCGGACGGGAATCAATAAAATCTTTGAAGGCGATTTGCACTGCCCCATCGGAGTTGACTTTTTTTCCTTGCAAGAAGTTATCCAAATTTCGAAAAAAAATGGTAATCTTTGGAGCAAGGTCCGGGGCGTACGGTGGATGTCTTAGACATTCCAATTGAAGCTCTTCTAATTTGGTAGCAGTCTGTTGTGCAACGTGTGGTCTAGCGTTATCGTGAACTAGCAGTGGCGTAGAGCGATTGACCAGCCTCGGTTGTTTAACAGCTAGTTTTTCCAGCATGGTTTGCACTTGCTGATAATAGACGTCTGCCGCAATCGTCTGGCCAGATTTGAGAAAACTCTAATGAACGACACCGGCACTAGTCCACCAAACGTTCGGTGGAGTAACTTTTTTGGGGTCAATTTTCGTTTGGGGCAGGATTTGGCTGGCATGCCTAGGTCCAACCATTGCGAAGAGCGCTTCCGATTATCGACTTTTCATCACAGGTAATGATTCGATTTAAAAACCCTTCATTATTGTGCCAGTTAAATAATGTAACGCAGCAGTCGAAGCGCGTTTACCAGTTTGCTTCTCTCAATTCGTGAGGTACCCACCTTTCAAGCTTTTTATTCTTTCCCATTTGCTTCAAGTGGATTAAAACTAACTGCAGCTAACTCGGACGTGGTTTTCGATGGATCCGCTTTCACAATACCATTCAAATTATAAACTTGGGTCTCCGGCCGTCCATGAGGCTCGAAATTTCCAGAACGAAAACGTTGGAACAAAAAACGTACTGTGTTTTCTTTTACGACATAACCGCCATACACATCATTAACCCTTCGAGCCGTTTCCGCAGCACTGGTACCATGGTGGAACTCGTACTCGTAAATAACACGATATTTCAATTTTTCCATTTTTAATACTGGGTGACGTAAATAGGACAAATAGAAGAAAAAAAAACAAATGAATACCGCCTAATGAAACACAAATACTTGTGTAAATGGCTGTATAAATTTGAATTTACTAGCTTTTGATCTGGATAAGCTGATTTTTTAGCTAATATGTTAAACCAGATCAAAATCTAGTAAGAGAACTTACTAGGTTTGAAATGGTTTTGGAAGTCAATTTTTACTTAGACGTTTTATTGTTAAAAATATTTTAGCTCATAAAATTTGTAGAATGAAACTTAGACAAATAATTTATATTATATCAAATTAACAGTTTCAAACTATTCCTTCTTGTAAATAATAATTTCTCAACAGGTGTTAAATAGTTTAAAAGAGCTACCCTAAAAAGAGTTTTTTTGCTCTCCTGTAAAATTTAGTCCAAAACAGTTACTAGGTTTTGAACTGGGACAGCCGTAGAGGGCAGTTCAAATTATGTGACGTGGAAAGTGCAAATTGAAATAGCACTTGTCTACGAAGATCTATGGGACTACACTAGTAAGGAGCCAAT